CGGAAAACTTTAGCAATGATGGAATTAAATATTACATGTGTTCACTTATATAGAACACCGCTGACAAATATCAACTTGCTAAACGGAAAGTTTAAGGAAGTTAAGCAGTTCTTTAGCATACGTGTAGGTTTTTTTGGAAAGATTGCCTGGGATTTTTGTTCAACTCTTGTAGCAGTAATTAACACTTTCTGATATTAGTCTAGATTTTAAATTCCTTAAGTTTTTGTATTTTCCTGTGGCAGCTAGGAGGATGTCTCGTTTACCTCATAGGTGTATTTTTAAGGGAATCATATCCAAACTGGTAGTTTTAGGGTAGGTTACTTTCACTTACTAGTTGTGTGACCTTGGGCAAGTTACTTAATTTCTATGTGTTTCCATTTCTCACCTGTAAAATACAGATAGTACCTACTGCAAAAGATTATTGTGGACAATTAGGTGAAATAATACATGAAATGGTCTTAGGAGAGTACCTGACGGAGAACATGTAGTATGGATGTTGCTTATTTTTACTATCACGTTTTTCTTTGGAGAGAGAGATTTTTGCTATAGGGTATGCATGCTCACCGGACAGACAGAAACAGAGAAACAGAGACTGAAAGCGAGAAATCACCCCCCCGGGGATGGACACACCACAATTCCTTTTCTATTCCCCTCTCAGGATCTTGGGCATGCATGCACTCATGCCTGGCGTGAGTTTTAAGCCACCTGGTTGGAAACTTGAACCGCGGTTGATGACAGGGGAGTCCAGCGACATAACCATTTCGCCATCTGCTGGTCCCTACTATCGCTTTTTAAAAAATAGTTATCACTACCATATGGCTTGTATTTCTTGAAAAATAAAAACTATAGAAATGGAATTATCATTTCAGGGATGTTTTATTTAAATGAACTTGATTGTCAGTGTCTGTACTATTTAAGATTTGACTTTTTCCTCAAAAAAAAAAAATCTGTACCTTAAATGAACTACAAATGCCACATAAAAATTAAACAGTGACACCTCACCAAGTTAACTATTATTTTGTAATGTTAAAAATGGTTTCTTAGCAGTCTTTTGGGGCATTATTTATTTATTGAATTATTTTCATGTTTTAATAGGCTTTTGCCGTAGGGAGCATGAGCTCACAGGTGGCGGGGGAGTGAGAAGTCACCCACACTGGGGATGGCTATCCCCTTCTCCATCCACCTCCTGGGGTTTTGGGCACTCACACACACACACACCTGGCATTATTTTTTAAAGCACCAGGACCAGGATTCAAACCATAGTCAGCCATGTCAGAGTGTAGCATATTAACCACCATGCCACCTATTGGTCCCAATCATTTTTTATTTTTAAATGTGACATTTTTAGGCTTTATTTTTTCAGTTCCTAGGAGTGAACAGCCAATGAGAGAAACAAAGATCTTGCTAGCACCAGTCAGAAACTCTGGAAAGGGCCAAACTTACAGCACAGTGACTAAACTCTGTATGTAGGGAATTAGATCCTACATAGCTGACCTCAGTTTGAATCCTGGTCCTGGTGGCTTTAAAACACATCAAAGTCCAGCAGGTGGCATGGTGTTTAAGGTGCTGGACTCCTACAGACCGACTATGGCTAGAGTTCCGACCTGGTGGCTTGCTTTCTCACTTTCCCTCCCTCCCTTCCTCTCTTCCTCTCTCTTTCTCTCTCTCTCTTTCTGTGTGTGTGTGTGTGCGCACGTGTGTTTCCTATAGCAAAATTTAAAATAAGTATAAGAAATAAAATTAAATAAATTATTCTTAAAAAAAATAAAAACCCAAGCACATACATGTGCTTGTCAAAGTCCTGATAAGATAGAGAAATGGAGGACAAAGGATTGCTATGTGACCATGCCTTAGTGAGAAGTACTTTCTCTTTCTCTTTTTCTCACTCTCTGATGAGCACATGTGCCTCTGGCAATTAAAAAAAAAGGAGGAAGAGTAGTGAAAATAGTGTAAGTCAGTCAAGGAGAGGCGAGAAAGAAGAGTATTTGTGTGTGCCAATGGCAGACTTCTAACATTTCCCATTTAAAAATCTCTGCTGGATAAAATGCAGTTTATCTTAGTTCAGGCAGCTCTAACAAAGTACTGCAGAATGGGTGGCTTATGAACAACAGAAACTTATTTCTCACAGTTCTGGATGCTGGAAGTCCAAGGTCAGGATGTCAGCATGGTTGGGTCCTGGTGAGGCCTGCTTCCTCTTCCAGATCACAGAGTGCCATCTTCGTAATGGATCCTCACCTGGTGGAAAGGGACCTAGAGAGCTTCCTGGATCCCTTTTATTAGGGCATAAATCCATTCATAAAGATTCCACCCTCCTGATCTAATCACCTCCCAAAGGCCCTACTCCTAATACCATCACATTGAAGGTTAAGATTTCAACAGACAAATTTTGGGAGGATGCAAACATTTGGTCCATAGCATCATCAAGGAGGTCACCAGGGAATCCCCTCTTTATCGTTTGATTTTTTTAAATTATCAGTTGGCTAGCCCTGTCAACTCCTGCCTGGATCATGTCTCACATTTGTCCCTTTTTCGATTCCATGCAACCTCACCTGTTGACACTAATAGTCTATACACCTTTATGAATGAATGTCTTCCTTACATAAATAACACATGTTTATGTATTTTAGAAAAATAAGGTAGGCAAAAAATCAGAGTCTTGAATCCCACTACTTGGAAGTAATTATGGATAACATTTTTGTGTACATGCCTGTGTGTGTGTGTGTGTGTGTGTGTGTGTGTGTGTGTGTGTGTGTGTATGTGTGCATGCACCATTAATGGAATTATACTGCAGTACTGTTTTATTATTAACTTCATATCATAAACATGTGTCCATATCTATAAATAGACTCTAGTGTTATTGTTGTATAGTCTTCTACTCCATGGCTATAGTTCCATTTACTTATGAAACCTCCTGAAGTTGAATATTTAGGATATTTCTTTCTTTTTTTCTTTTTCTTTAGCTTTTGTTATAGTGTTCATGCACTCACCAAAGAGAGAGATAGAGAGAGTGGGAGAAAAGGAGGGTGAGAAATCAACCCCCACGGGGATGGCCATACTGTACTCCCTTCTCCTATAGTCTCCTTTTGGGATTTTGGGCATGCACACACATACACGCCCAGCCTGATTTTCAAGCCACCAAGTCTGGGACTTAAACTGTGTGGTTGGCCATGTGGAATCCAGCACCTTAACCTCCATGCCACCTGCTGGCTTTTATTTTTAACCTTTTACTTTTATAACCGTTCTTGTGATAAGCACTCTTGTAACTCCATTAATCACATACATTTTTAATTAATTCTATAGGATAAATTCGTAAAAGCAAACTGTAGGTCAAAGCCTATACACATTTTAGAATGTTTGATAATGAGCTAGATGTAACATAGCTTCTCAATCTGTATACCAATGTCCAGTATTTCTTTCTCCAAAACTTTCTAAAATGAACAATCCTCAGTCCGGCCTTTTAGGCCCCTAAATCTGGGCCTTACCTACCTTTCCAGATTCATGTCCTGCTGGTCCCTCTCTGTTACACTGCATGCCATGTGGCTGTTTCTGCTGTTACCACCATCTGGAATACTCTGGACTCCCACCCCACCCCCTCACACTGAGATATGACCCCTTGTATGCACTCTCATAGCCATGTGGCCGCACCTCACTTCTGGCATTTATCATATTCTCTTCTACGTCTCATGGCTTTTTATGTACCAGTCTTACCTCCCTTACTACCGCACAAGGGCTCATAAACCAGAGACCAAGCCTTATCATCCCCTGCATCCCCTGCAGTAGATATATAACCACAGAACCAACTCAATTATGCTGCCATAACAAACAAATCACATTTTGGAGACTGAAAACAAGACAGCTCACTCATGCTGCATGTCCATGTCAGATCAGCAGAGCTGTCCTATGACACCCTGCAACTCAGGAAGCCCATTTCACGGTCTGAAATGACCGTGGCAGAGGGGACAGAGAGAGCCGGAAGTACTCACACTGGCAATTGTGCCTATTTGGAGGTGGAGGCAGAGGTGACATTACTGCCAATGGCCTATTGGCCAAAATGAGTCATATGACTTTACCAGGGGAGGAAGGACAGAGAAGCGTAATCTTTCTACACAACTGGGAGGAAAGATGAATCTTATGAGGGGCCATGAAGTCAGTAGCTGTCACCATGCCTTGCTTATAACAGGCAATCAACAGACATGCTGAAAGAATGAGCAAATAAATACAACTGCAAGTAGAAATGAAAACAGAAGACTACTGACTATAAAAGAACATTTCCTTTCCAAACTAATTTTTATTTTTGTATTTTAATTAATTAATTATTTATTTATTTATTTATTTATTTATTTATTTATTTATTTATTTATTTATTTATTTATTTATTTATTTATTTATTTATTTATTGCCATAGGGTGCGTGTGCTTGCCAGACAGAGAGAGAGACAGAGAGACAGAAAGCGAGAAATCTCCCCCTGGGGGGGCTGGCCACACCGCAACTCCTTCTCCTCCATTCTCCTCTCGGGATCTTGGGCATGCATGCACATGTGTCCGGTGTGAGTTTTAAGCCACCGGGTCCGGGACGCGAACCGCGGTCGACTACCTGGGAGTCCAGTGACATAGCCCTTATGCTAACTGCTGGTCCCAATTTTTATTTTTATAAGTAAGAGAACATTAAGATATTTTGCTTTTCCTATTTCATATTGTATTGTTTCCTATTGAGTAGGAATCTGAATATGGAAAACAGATATGCATTTTTTTCTTACTGTTTAAAGAGGCAAGGATGGAACCAGGGAGTTGAGGATATCACATACCTTCAGTGCAGTTTCTACTCTACCATAGTCAGATAAAATAACCAGCTAGAAGAGTGCCCAAAGGGCCGGCAGGTGGCATGGTGGTTAAGGTGGCTGGATTCCCACATGGCTGACCACAGTTTGAGTCCTGGACTTGGAAGCTTGCTTTCTTACTTTCCTTTACTCTCTGTCTCTCTCTGGTCAACTTCAAAAAAAATAATAATGACAGTGAATAAAATTAAATAACAAATAATTTTTAAAAAAGGGCACCCAACATTTTATTGGAAGATGATGATGCTCTGATAGGAAAAGTGACTGGCTGACTCAACTTTTTCTCCCTCTGTGCTATCTTACTTATAATAAGACACTAAGAGGAGGTGGTGAAACAAAGAGTCACCCAAAGAGGACCCTGCTGGGACTACGCCTGGCCTAGGGAGGTGTGAGGAAATGGGTACACTTGGCCATGACGTCCCAGGCGAACCTCATCCGTAGCAAGAGGCTAAGCGAATGTCAGTTTCAGTTCTATTCCCTGGGGAAGTCATGTTCCACCAAGAACCTCTTAACTCATGACCTAGAACCTGCAACATCAACAGATTGTTTTTTCTTTTGCAATGAATAAGATGTGTATCACTCTAGTTAGGTGTAAAACTTTAAGATTAGAGAATTCAAGGAGACCCATAGGATGGATATTGTTAAGTTTGTTAATTTCATGAGCAAGAGGGCAGAGAGAAGCCTCAACAGGGTCTTCCCATCATGATCCATCCCCAATCTCAGCTGGCTTGGATTCTGGACACACATGTGCCCCGTGTGCTCAGGGAGATCCCCGGATGCAAACATGGGACCTTTCTGACGCAGGTGCAGCTGCATTCTCGCTGCACCCTGGCATGCTCCTACATGGCTATTTTTGAAGCAAACTTAAGTGTGGGTGCAATGATAATTTTTCTAATTACTATAACATATTGTGTGCATTTTTCATTTAAGAGAATTTGTTGTATTGGGTTTGTAGCTTTATTAAAATAGTTAAATGACCTTGACTCAGTTCAAAATCAGTATTTAAATATTTAAGGCGATTCGTTCCTGATGTGTAGCATGACTTACTGTTGCATAATCATGTTTAAATATTTGGGGAAATGTGCTTAATAGATGTCAAGACTTAATAAACTGAACATTAAACAAAGCTAAGTAGTGGTAAGTATTCTTTCCATGTCAGTAGCCCTGAGACATGAAGGCTCCTAGCAACGGACAAGACAACTCCTGTCCCATAGATTTAATAGACTGTATGTCGGACCAAAAATCCTGGATGTCTGGCTGTTGCAATTGAAAACAAGATCCAAACAAATACGCTTAGCAGGGAAACCTAGTGAGCAACTACGTGGGTTGCCTTTTGTAGTCAGGTCTCCTGCCAAAGGTCATTGTTCAGTCTATGGCTTGATTAGGCTTGGCACATACACAAACGTTTTGCTCGCCTGTCTGGCAATAAGTACAAGGCTTTTTCACTTAAAACACTTCCGAGGTCAAGCTTCCTAAAGTATGGGGGGTTGGGAGATGAGAGTGTAATAGAACGAGTAGATCAAGCAATCTGGGTGATCAGAGGACTCTTTAAAAAAAGAAAATTGAATGTTCAATTTTATGTTCTGTTGATGCTAAACTAACCTTTCCATCTCCCCCAAATGGTCATTAATTAAAGTTGTTATATAATCAAAGAAATGGCAAAGAAGCACTTCTGAGATCTAACTAGCTTCTCTTCATCTAGTGATCATGAGAGAGCCATTCATATTGCCAGCTGATGCTGATGGGGTAGAAATAGCACGCCAGGGAGTCTTCCTCGCCACAGAGAGGGCCCGATGTTCAGTTATGTTTCTATAATAGACACTTCGACTTGCCATTTGCCTGGCTGATCTCAGATGCTCTGGGGATTCTCTGAGGACTTAGGAGCTAAGAATGCTCAGGGATTTAGTGTCCTGAGGAACTCTTTAATCCTCTGCTTCCTGAGTCCCACCCTAAGCCAGAACCTTCTGTCACATCCCAAGAGTTACAGGCAGTTTGAAAGCTCTGCTAAGCAACTACTTTGCTTGACCTCTGGGGGTCCTAGGTGGTACCACTTAGGGCTCCCTGAGAAGTTCTGAGCAGGATGAATTTCCGTCTTGTCACTCTGCCTTGGGTGGCACTCTGAGGGGCTTTCTTTCTAAGCAGCAGCAGCAGCAGCAACGCAGGTCCCGCCATGGGTGAGATCAACCAAGATGCCGTGGAGAAATACCTGGAGGAGAACCCTCAGTTCGCCAAGCAGTACTTTGACAAGAAGCTGCGGGTGGAGACGCTGGGAGAAATCTTCAAGAACAGCCGGGTGCCAGTCCAGGCCAGCATGTCCTTCTCTGAGCTGACGCAGGTGGAGGAGTCGGCCATGTGCCTGGAGCTGTTGCTCAGCCTGCAGGAGGAGGCCAGCAGCGCCGAGATGGCCGCGCACAAGGCCCTGCAGAGGCTGGCCCAGCTGCTGCAGGCCGACCGCTGCAGCCTGTTCCTGTACCGGGCTCGCAACGGCATTCCCGAGGTGGCCTCCAAGCTGCTGGACATCACCCCCACTTCCAAGTTCGAGAACAACCTGGTGGTCCCTGACAAAGAAGTCGTGTTTCCACTGGACATCGGGATAGTGGGCTGGGCTGCTCACACGAAGAAACCCCTGAACGTCCCAGATGTGACAAAGGTGGGTGGCCCGGTGTCGGCAGGACAGTCGGTGGGGTCAGGGAGGAATGAATAGGAAAGAGAGATGGCACCATCCTTGTGCACTGGTTGGCTGTGCCCTGGGGAATGCAGGGGAAGAGAAGCATCCGGGCCTACGGTGTCAGATTTAGCAAATAAAAATATAAGGTAACAAGTTAAACTTCAGTTCCCAATAAACTTAATTCCATACACACACACACACACACACACACACACACACACACACACACGTATACATAGCATAAGCCTGTCCCATGTAACATTTATTTTTAAATTTTGCTAGAGGGCCTGTGCACTTCCTGGTGGAGGGGGCGGAGAGAAAGAGAAGTAGAGAGAGAAGGCATCCTTGGGTAATGGTCACACTGCAGTCTCTTCTACTACTTCTCGCCCTCCTTTCAGGAGTTTGGACACACGTGCACATGTGCCTGGCGTGTTTCTCAAGCTGCTGGGTTCAGGACTCAAACTGTGCATTCGGCCATGTGAGATCGAGCTCAGTTAACCACCAGGCCACAGGTGATCTGACTTATTTTTTTTTTTTTAATAAAATTTAGTTGTATTTATTGAGAGAAAGAGAGACAAGACCCTCCGCAGAGTCCTGTCACACCATGATCCTTTCTCCCAGCCTCCTGCTGGTGAGGAGCTTAAGCACACACACACGTCCCACGTGTTTCAGGCTCACCCAGGATCTGAACCTGGGGGCAGCATGTGGCACTCACACAGCAGAACAGCACTGTGTGCCTGTACCTGGGCATATGTTGACATTTTATCAGGTCATTCCACCTGGGCCTGGTGTATTCCACACCCACTCCTCCAATACCCTGGGAAACAACTAAGCAAGTCACCTCATGGGGAGACCAGCTAACATGCCCAGATGCCAAGACATGTTAACTGCTCCCGACGACCCTCAGTCACAGCCCTGTGGAAACATACAGTTCTTTGGGACAGATCAGCTCATAAATTGATTCTTCACCTATAGGCCAAACGCACAAAGAGAAAAAAACCAAGGCTACCATTTGAGAGTTCAGATGTTCCAATGTGGCTCATTATAAACGTGAATGTAGTGCTGGCTAAGTGTAAATGACCACCCCAACACCTCCACAACACAGATCTAGCGTGATGGCTAAGTGCAACTGACCACCTCAACACCTCCACAACACAGATCTAGTGAGGGTATATTCCATCACATAGGACCTTGGGACACTCCCAAAGACCAACACCCACTGCATGAACACAAGGCATTGTTGTGCCCCTTATCATTGCGATATATCCTCATTGTAGAAAACTTATATTAATAAAATACAAATACACAAGGAGGCAATGCTGATTACCCATAATCCCTTCACTCGGCAATAATCACGGGGATGGAGGTCTCCCTCCAGCCCTTCCTCTACGCAGGCATCTCCTTACTATGATTACTGTTAACCAAAGGGAGAGTGGATCAGGATGGGCTGGAGCCCAGTGGGAGCAGCCCCTGAAATGCCGTCCGTGGGAGGGTCTGTTGCTAGCCGCGGTTACAGGCAGCTGGAGAGGCAGGAGGATAATCCCCTAAATGCCTCCTGAAGCTGATTACAGGAGGGTCCCAGAAGTTGTCAAATATTAGCCACAATCGGCAAACAACTGGAGGATACCCCTCAGGTGCAAGGGTTGCGTGGAGCCCTTGTCTTTCCTGATTTCTCCCTTGGGTGAGTTCAAGCTAGTTTCAGTTCACTTTGGAGGCCCACCACAGCTCCTTCAGGTGCGTGCTCTTAAAGCAAAGGCTATGTCCCCACACCCTGAGGTTTTCTCGTGGGAATATGCTTCTCGACAGTCTCCGATGGAGTCCATCTCTAATTTACTAGGATGTCACACTATAGAAGTAACATGCAATCACTTTTTCCCCCAAAATACATTTTTTTTTTTAAAAAAAGAGATGAGTTGGAGCCAGCAGGTGGCATGGTGGTTAAAGTGCTAGATTTCCACATGGTTTACCATGGTTCGAGTTCTGATCCCAGCAGCTTGAAAATTATGCTGGGCGTGTGTGTGTGCATGCCCAAAGTCCTGGAGGAGAATGGAGGAAAAGAGATAATAGTATGACCATCCTCCCAGGGGGCGATTTCTCACTTTCCCTCTCTCTGTCTCTCTCTGGCCACAGCATGTGCCCTATGGCAAAAAAAAAAAAAAATAGTGATGGGTAAGAACCTTCTGCTGTAGTACCCTGAGCGCAGTGCTCCATGCCGAGGAGGAGATGTAGGTCGGACCTGTGGGAAAGATGAGCTGACTTTGGTCTGTTGCTGTTCATGCTGGCATCACTGCGAGGACAGGGCAGCTCGCGAGGGGCAAGTGGGATCCTCTTCTCCCTTCGCCTGGGGACTCCTGGCTTCTCTGGGTGGGAAGAGAACACTGTGTTGACGCTGGAAGCACCCAGCTCAAGGCCCTCCTGAGCTCCGAGGGGCAGTCACAGCCTCATTTCCTCTCCAATTCCCCGGCTTCTCACCATCTTTTCCCTAGAGTGGTGCTTTTCAACTCTGGCTGCACATTAAAATCAAATTGTAGCTGAGCACAACAGTGCGCCTCCATAGTCCAGCTACTCAGGAGACTGAGGCAGGAGCATTGCTGGGGCTAGAAGATTGAGAGTTCAAGGTCAGCTTGGGTGACATAATGAGACCCTGTCTCTTTAAGGAAAAGAAAAAAATCACCAAATTGTTAGATTTTTTAAAAAAAATACTGATTTATAAGGCTCTCAAGAGTCTGGGAATACATATTAGATTTTTGTTTGTTTTTTATTTTTGTTTTTTGAGAGGTAGGGTGCATGTGCTCACCAGAAAGACAGAGAGAGACAGAAAGACAGAAAGCGAGAAATCACCTCCCAGGGAGGATGGCCACACCACAATCCCTTCTCCTCCATTCTCCTCTCAGGAATCTTAGCTCACATATACACACACCCGGCATGAGTTTAAGCCATCAGGTCTGGGACTCAAACTGCGGTCAACTACATGGGAGTCCAGCGACATAGACATTACGCCAACTACTGGTCCTGAATACACATCAGTATTTTAAAAAAGCTCTGCAGGCGATTCTAATTTGCATCTGGTGTTGGAAACCACTGTTAGGTGAAAGATCCAGGAGGATAAAGCGAATTTCAAGTCGACTGTGAGTAATCAAGATAGAAAGGGCTTAGGGAGTCTTTATCCCAACTCTGTCCTACGTCAGACAGGAAGTGGAGGTCAAGGAGGTTGGATCTCCCCAGAGTCCTGGCACGTGTCGGTAAGTGAGAAGGGCTGGGATGTAACCAAGGCTTCCTGGTGCTCGTCCACTGCACCCCACCCACCCCACACCCCTGCAGTCTCACCACGCTTTAGCCACTGCAGGAAAGTTTGCAGCGAGAGAGGAGGTGGAGACTGATGCTGTAAATGAAATTCCTAATGAATTCTCCACCTTTCAAAGCATTTTCTCATTATTTGTCTCGATTCCGACAAGGCTCTGTGCAAGGGTTATGGAGGCTATATTTTTATATCCATCCTATATAGTAAGAATTCACTCAAATGGGGAAGGCGGGATGTGGCAGGCCGGGACAGTAAGCTAGGTCTTCCAGGTCCCCTTTTTCTATTGCACTGCCCGTGACCCATGGCTTTGCTCTGGTTAGCAGTGCGGGCACTCAAGGGAAAGATGTCTTGCCCCTAGACGAAGATATGGAGCAGGATACCCCTGAGCTCGGGGTCCACAAAGGCAGTAACAGCAAGGTCACCCGGGAGGGAGTGCTTTGGCATCAGACGGGTCGGGTGCGGATCCAGGGCTGAGAATTTGTGACCGAGGGTACACACTGAATGTACACAGAGCACCTGGCTCAAGTAGGTACTCAATAACTGATCGCTACGATTAGACGGGCGAGGTATTGCAAAGGTTGGGGGGCTGGGTGTGGATGACCAAAACCGGGTCACGGATGATCGCCTGTTTTAAAACAGGTTCAGAGATGGAAGACTTTTTAAACAGGAAACAGAAAGCTAGCCTCTGCAAGTCAGTTGTTTCCTTGTCTACCTACCCAGAGAGCTGTGCACTAACCCACTGGGTGGTCCTGATTCCCACTGTGGCTTAGAAAACAGCTTTGGGAGAAGGCCTAAGCGTTCAGGAACCAGCAGGTAGTGTGGTGGTTAAGGCGCTGGACACTCCCACATGGCCGACCAGGGTTCAAGTCCTGAATCTGGTGGCTTGCTTTCTCACTTCCTCTCTCTCTCACTGTCACTCTGTCTCTCTCTGGTCAAATTAAACCTCTGCAAGTCAGTTGTTTCCTTGTCTACCTACCCAGAGAGCTGTGCACTAACCCACTGGGTGGTCCTGATTCCCACTGTGGCTTAGAAAACAGCTTTGGGAGAAGGCCTAAGCGTTCAGGAACCAGCAGGTAGTGTGGTGGTTAAGGCGCTGGACACTCCCACATGGCCGACCAGGGTTCAAGTCCTGAATCTGGTGGCTTGCTTTCTCACTTCCTCTCTCTCTCACTGTCACTCTGTCTCTCTCTGGTCAAATTAAAAAATGATTGAATGAATAAATAAAATAAATAAATATTTAAGAAAAAAAAAGAAGGCCTAAGCGTTCAGTCATGAACTGGGTGCTCCCTCTCCTCCCTCTTCTCTCTTCCTTCCTCCTCTCTGCCTTTGCTCTCAGGGGTTAGTGGTGTTTAATCAGGATTTAGCAGCACAGATCAGAGGAGGGATCAGGCTCCCGCTGCTCTAAACAATGTCCCCTAGTTGCCTTCAGGGGCTTCTTTGAAAAAGGACCTTCTGCGAGCTTGGGAGTCCAAAACACACAGGATTTCCTCTAAGAAATCTGACCGAGGCCTGTTAGAACTAGTGAAAATGAAAAGCTGGCAAGCCTCCCCTCCCCTGTAATTCAGTGGGTGGTTTGGATGCAGTAATACACAAGCAATAGATTTTTGAAACTTACAAGCTATTTTCTCAAAGCAGCTGATTAAACGTAAGAACTATCCTCACGTTTAGAACCTAGAATAAACCGACACAGGGTTTTGAAGCTGCAGAGAGAAGTGTGTTTGGAAAGTTAGGCTGCGGGGCTTCATCCCATGTACTTGCTTCTGCTATTTCCATCTTTCCTCAGGAGCCCGGGTTTCTGTGTAAATGAAGGTAGTTATGAAGGTAATGGGTAATAAGGAAGGTGGAAAAAAGAATGTGGCCTGGCCTGGCCACAGAGTGGATTAAGGGAAAGAATGGAAAGAAGTCTGGGGACATCCTGGCCTGAGAGTAAAGACTCAGAAATAAACCTCTCCAAAACCCAAAAACAAAACAAAAACAAAACAAAACAAATAAGCAGAGAGAAGTAACAATTAAGTGACCAGGGAAGAAATGGGCTCTTGGGAGCCTGGAGCAGACTCTGCCCTCCAGAGGAAGGGAGCCAGCTAAGGGCATCTTGTCTACTCGGTGGTTGGAATGGGCTGGCAAATTTAAGACTAGGAGCAAAGCGACCTTGTGAAAGAGAGCTACTTCTCATCCAGGAAGCCACAGGGTTCTCTTCCTGGTACTTGTAGAGCATCTAGTAGATGTCAGACACTTTTCTAGATGCTCTATCTATAGCATGGTGTTCGAGCCCCCCATCGGAAATGCTGGGTAGTAGATGATGTCATTTTCCCTACTTCAGATTGGGAAATGAGGACACAAAGGGCAAATAACATGCCCAGGACTACGAAGCTAGGAATTGAGGCCTGCTGCCAGCCAAAGCCTAGAAGCTTCTTCATCCTTACACAGAGCTTCTTGCTAAGAAGTGAGTGGTTTGAACATTCTCACTGTGCAGTCATGTAGAAGAGACCAGGGTGGGGAGCAGCATTCGATTCTCTCTGGTCCCATTTCCTGGGATCTTCCACCAAAGTGATTCGCCCATTTGGTTTAACATTGGAGTTACCTGGAGCATGTGAAAGTTAAGATCCCTGGGACCAGCAGTTGGTTTAATGGCTGTCACTGGACTCCCATGTAGTCAACGGCAGTTTGACTCCCGGACCCGATGGCTTAAACTCATGCTGGGTGCGTGCCTGTGCCTGCCCAAGATCCCGAGAGGAAAATGGAGGAGAAGGGATTGCGGTGTGGCCATCCCCCTGGGGCGGGGGGTGGTGATTTCTCAATTTCTGTTTCTCTGTCTCTCTCTGTCTTTCTGGAGAGTGCACATGCCCTATAGCAAAAAACAAAAAACAAAAACAAAAACAAAAAAAAACAACAAAAAAACAAAAACAAAAACAAACCTCCCTGGGGGGTACAGACTCCCTGCTCAGAGATCGAAGTTCATACGGTCTGCTGCTGCAGGGGACACTGAGGCACAGTTCAGGACTCAGCTCCCACGGGAGCTGAGCTATTTCCCCCAAGGCTCTTAATTCCCAGTGGAACTTACGGCCTAGAAGGCATATACCAGGGGACATTTTTCACTTCGGGACTTCGGGACACTGACCAGAACTTGGCCTCCAAGGTTCATGCTGCTTTTACAAGTCCCATTAACACGGGGAAATGAAAATAACATGACATGTGAAAGGAACGCACATGAATTTTGGCCAGCAAGTCTCGGAGTTAGGCTTAAAGGTCAGTGCTAACTGAGAAAGACACAGGCTCAAAGGGAAGAATGTCGGGATTCGGGGAAGGTGGCTCTGCACCCTGAGGAGGAGGTATCCCCAAAACCACAACTCCCAGAGCAGCTGCTTCCTTAACCTTCTTAGGCCCTCCTGTTGCACACCTCTCTGGTCTCAACACTCGCCCTCGCCACAGCCAGTGTATTGGGATCATCCTTTGCATCTACTATGTAGGGATTGTGTCTGGGGAGATCTACTTTCTTTTTTCCCAAAGGGGAAAAAATATGAATGAATGAGATTGGTAGAACATCGGTGGAACATTAAAAAATTATGGGGTCTGACGATGGCAAAGAAAGTGGTCCTGTCACGCAGGGTCAGTGGAAGAATTTCAGCCTTTCCTAACAGCCCTCTATGTAGCTGAAAACGACGTGTACCATTGGTCCAGAGAAAAGGACTTTAACCTTGGAGAATCCACACATAAAGGTAACAGCAATGATGATTAGTGTGGAATTGTTTGTAGTGGGGAAAACGATGAGCAGACTGAATCAGGAGAGGCTGGTTGAGCAGGTCACAAAGAATGGAGTGCTATTCTAAATTCTAAGAGCTGAGTTTCCATCCATTTCCATTAGTCTGGAGGGAAGCCCATAAGACACTGCAAAGTGATAAAAGTAAGTACCAGATACAATTAACAAAAAGAACATTTCTTTTAAAAACTAATTTTGTACATTGTTATCATTTTTAATTTGACCAGAGAGAAGCAGAGAGAGAGAGAGAGAGGAAAAGTGATATGCAAACTGCCCAGTCCAGATCTCAGACTGCAGTCAGCTATGTGGGAGTCCAGTGCCTTAACCACCACCCAACCTGGCAGCCTCAGTAAAGATAAAATTTTTATAAAGAAAATAGAAAAGTCTTTGTCCAATCATAGAGAAAGACATAGAAGAAGACATACCAAGTAGTTACTGCTGATTTTCTTAAGTGGGTGAGACTGGCAGGAATTTGCAGGAATTCTTCACTTTCTTTTATGCTATTACATATGGGCTAACTCTGTATGTACGCGATTATGTATGGTTTCAAGTGCACATTGTACTTTTGCAATCCAGCGCAGACTTCTGTGAACTATGCTGTGAGCCCAGCTCTGCCCTCCTTTCTCACGCACCCTCTGACCATTGTAACCATGTACTGCCCCCTCCCTTCCTCTTAGCACCCCACTTTCATACTTGGTAGTGATGTCACCTCTTTTCTCCTGGACCCACCTCAGCCTACCTCAGAGAGGCCACAGCTCAGACAGGAAATACTCTTTGGAAACACACAGCTGTGACTCTATCCCATGCAGTCACAGAATGGTGGGTAGTGTGGGAGTGTTCATTGGGACCACTGCGAGGGGGCCCTGGTTATCTGTTGGTACAATCTTGGCTAGACTGAATGATCTGTCACCATCCCTAGACCTACCATCCCATGTCTCTGTGTCACTTTGGCCAATGTGTGAATATTTTTTTTCAGAACAGCCATTTTTCTGACTTCATGGACAAACAAACCGGGTATGTCACTAAGAACCTGCTGGCAACCCCGATCGTGATGGGCAAGGAGGTTCTTGCTGTGGCTATGGCACTTAACAAAGTAAATGCAACTGAATTTTCCAAACAGGATGAAGAGGTAATGCTAACCCTGGGCATCCGGTCAGAGGTTCAGCAAATTTATTTATTGTGTAACCAAAGGAAAGGTGTCACAACCATAATTTGTTCTTCTCTGCCCTCCGTAGGTCTTTACCAAATACATCAACTTTGTCTCTGTCATCCTAAAGATTCATCATACCAACTACCTGTACAATATTGAATCCCGAAGAAGCCAGGTAAAAGGAAGGTGACACTCTCTCCAAGATGACCTGTTCTGAAAAGGGACCCAAAGGCAACAAGCCCAGACTCTTGCTCCTATCCCTCATGGGGGTTTTAGCCACATGGAACAGATCCCCAAACTTCAGTCCCAGGTGTCCTCTCATGATCTCCTTCTCACCCTCCCCCCACCCATAACCCTCCATCTGTGTGTCCAGCTGGTTGACTCTCTTCAGTCTACATCCTGGATGACCTTATTTCTTGACCTATGAGAATGCACCTATTTCACTTGATCATTAGCTCCACGTAGGCTCTTAGCAGTTAGAGGATCATAATAAAACTATTCATTTGAGAGCACTCTTCTGAAGCCCATTGCTTCCTTGGGGCAAAGGAATAAAGAACAATGTTGGTATCCAGGATCTGTGAGTCTGGACCAGTCTCTGGACCTCAGTTTCCTTGTTAGTACAGTGTGTGGGTGGGGGTTGGGATGGAAGATTTCCAAGGTTTCTTCCCAGTTAGACTATCCAGGTAAAGTTAACCTTGACTATTTCAGGATACATGGATGCAGATTCATGGCTTTCTCTCCACAAGGGCCAGCAATAGCCAGTGGGCCACCATACTGGATCCTCTGCCCAGGGATTATCTCTTCATCTGTTTTTAGGGCACTTGTTCTTTGGAACTAAAGCATTTGGATGTGGGAACCAACCATGACTTCTCCCTCTTCATAAACCCACAGCCTTGCAAAAGCCTATCCATCATGTGCTTAGAGAGTCTGAGTAGTTCTTTGTATGTAGACATGTTCAAAACCAGAACTGCATTGTCTAGTGATACAGATTCATTTTATATGATGCATCTCAAGCTTTCTTTAGGCTGATGCTCTAACTTTCAATTGTGTATTTTGTTGTAACTGTTGTTGTTGTTCATTTGTTTGTTTTTTGTCAACTTTCAGATCCTTATGTGGTCAGCCAATAAAGTATTTGAAGAGCTCACAGATGTGGAGCGACAATTTCACAAAGCACTCTACACAGTTAGAACATACCTGAACTGTGAGCGATACTCCATCGGACTGCTGGACATGACCAAGGAGAAGGTCCTCACTGTTCCATATGCTTTATTTCTTCTATAATCACCTATAAAATATATACCGCATGAAACATGATCCTTAGGAAATGCCTATACTATATATATAATTGTGGAGATAGATCACAAGAACAGAGGTAAAAGTGCACATGTTAGAGCAAAAAAGATATAGGCTTGAATCTTGACTTTTCTTTCTTTGAAGCTATACATGTCTGTAGCCAGTCTTTTCTTCTTAAAATTAATTAATGAATTTTCTAGAGAATTTTTAGATGCACATAAAAACTCAGGAGAAAGTACAGTGTTCCCATTTATGTCCTCTTTCCTCTTGCCCTCCCCCAACCCCTACCTTGGTTTCCCTATTATTAATGTCTTTTATTAACGTCGTATAATTGTTTGAGTCGATAAACTAATATTGATACATTATTAAGTAAAATTCATAGTTTATATTTGTATTCATCCTTTGTGTCACATGGGTTCTATGGGTCTTGGCAAATGCATAATGTCACGTATCTGCTATTACAGTATCACAGAGAATAGATTTTGTGTTCTATAATCCTTTGTGCTCTATCTAAAACTCCCCTCCCTCTCAAAACCCCTACACCACTTTTTTTTTCTGCCTCTATAGTCCTACCTTTTCCAGACTGTCATATAGAGTTGGAATCATATGGTCTATAGCTTTTTCTGATCAGCTTTTTTCACTTAGCCATGTGCATTTAAGTTTCTTCCATGTCTTTTCGTGGCTCACTAGCTTTTTTAAAATCACTGGATAATATTTCTTTGTGGCAGTTTGTTTACTCATTCATCCGTTGAAGGATATCTTGTTCTCTTCTAATTTTTGGCAATTATGAATAAGGCTAAAAAAAGAGTGTGTGACAGTTTTTGTGTGTACATCCGTTTTCAACCCATTTGGGTAAATACCAAAGAGGGCGATTGCTGGGTCTCATAGTAAGGCTATGTTTATCTTTATAAGAAACTGTCAGACTATCTTCCAAAGTGACTGTACCATTTTGCATATACACCAGCAAATGTGAGTTCTTAACATTTTACACCCTCAGCATCAGCTGGTGATGTCAATATTTTGGGTTTTAGCCCCATTTAAGTATGTTGTTGTTTCAGTCTGCATTTTCCTAATGTTATACGACACAGAACATCTTTTTATATGCTTACTTGCCATTTGTGGGTTTCGTTTTTGTTTTCTGGGGTTTTTGTTTTTTTTTTTGTTTGTTTGTTTGTTTGTTTTTTTGTAAGATACGATTTTGCTTTGTTACTCAGTTCACTCAGTCTAGCCTTGAACTTTCCTGCCTCAGACTTCCAAGGCACTGGGATTACATGCACTTGCTGCCATAGTCGGTATCTTTAGATAGCACTGGGAATCAGGCCTGGGCCTCTCCTGTGGCCCAGCCTGTGTAATGCAGCATCTTAGCAGCACACACCACCATGACTGGGCTGTGTATCTTTTTTTTAAGAGGTTCTTTTCATAGGGCGCGTGTGCTCGCCAGACAGACAGAGACAGAGAGACAGAAAGCGAGAAATCACCCCCCCAGGGGGATGGCCATGCCACAATCCCTTCTCCTCCATTCTCCTCTCAGGATCTTGGGCACACACGGACACGTGCCCAGAGTGAGTTTTAAGCCACCGGGTCCGGGCCTCGAGCCATGGTCGACTACATGGGAGTCCAGCGCCCTAGCCATTATGCTAACTGTTAGTCCCATGGGCTGTGTATCTTCTGTAGTGAGCTATTTGTTCAGATGTTTTGTCCATTTTTTAATTATGCCATTGTTTTTTTAATGGTTCAGTCTTATAAGTTCTTTGCATATTTTGAATGTGCACCCTTTATGTGTTTTGCAAATATTTTTTCCCAACCTACAAAAGCTTCTAATTGTAGAGAAATCCAATTATTAAAAATATTTTTTCTCACAGATTATGCTTTTAATGTTTTATCTAAAAACTTATCATCAAACCCAAGTTCACCTAGATTTTGCCCTACATCATCTAGAAACTTTTATTTTGAGAGATTTTTGCTATAGAGCATGTGCACTCACCAGAGAGACAGAGAGCGACAGAATGCAAGAAACCACCCCTCGGAGGGATGGCTGTGCCACAATCTCTTCTCCTTTATTCTCCTCTTGGGATCTTGGGCACGCACGTACACGCGGGCAGCATGGGTCTCAAGTCTCTGGGTGCAGAACTGGAACTGTGGTCAGCTATATGGGAAGTCCAGCAACATAACTATTATGCAATCTCCTGGTCCCACCCATCGTGTAGAATTTGTATGGCTTATGGAGTTATTTTACTGTGGAGCTGTGAGGTCTGTGTCTAGGTTCACTTTTTTGCATGTGACTGTTCAGCTGCTCCAGTACACTCCGCTGAAAGGCTCATTTCTGTCTCCATTGCCTTTGCTCCTTTCCCAGAGATCAGTTGATTATATTTGTGTGTCTGTGTTTAGGTCCTCTGTTCTGATCCATTGATTTATCTGTCTCTTCTTTCACCAATACTACACCATCTTGAAGCCGGGCAGTGTCTGTTCTCTGGCTCTCTCTCTCTCTCTCTTTTTCTTTTTTTGCTTTTCAATGAGTCTTTTAACCTCCATGATTTTTGGTTTCTTCGCCTGTTAAATGAAGATATCTTTCTTATCAGTTATGAAGATTAGAGTACCAATTTAACATTTTATATCATCAGAATTTTCAAATTATTTCAAAGTAGAAATAATTGAAAATTTAATATTATCCATGGTATGTTCATTTTTCATTTTGTCTAATTAACTCTATTGGTGCTCTCCTGCTTCAATATAACTAATGATATCAGTTATATTTCCTTATGATTCATGTGATTAGTAGTTACTGGTAATTACCTAAGTGGATAAACACAGGACCAAATATCAGGAGATCTGTGTTCTCTTTCTTTTCTTTTCTTTTCTTTTCTTTTCTTTTCTTTTATTTTCTTTTCTTTTCTTTTTTTTCTTTTTGGAGAAGTTTTTGCTATAGGGCGCGTGTGCTCACCAGAATGAGAGAGAGAGACAGAGAGACAGAAAATGAGAAATCACCCCCCAGGGGGGATGGCCAGGCCACAATCCTTTCTCCTCCATTCTCCTCTCAGGATCTTGGGCATGCACACACATGCACCTGGGGTGAGTTTAAGCCACTGGTTCTAGGACTCGAACCGTGATCGACTACATGGGAGTCCAGCAAAACAGCCATTTTGCTATCTGCTGGTCCCACGAGATCTGTATTCTGATCCTTGTTCTGGGACTTTTTGCTGAGAGTATTGTCTAGAATGCTTTTAGCTGCAAGGAACATCAGACTCAGCTCATCTGTCACAACATGATTATGCTTATTGTATCACTTTAAAAAGAAATCTCGAGGTAATACATTATAGGATGACTTAATTCAGAACTCAGAGTACTTATCAAGGTCCCAGGTAGCAAGATCTCTGCTCTCTGCAGCATGTTGAAGAGATCATCTCTTAAACTAGCAAGACGGCTGTTGCGGCTCAAAGCATGGCACACGGATACAACATGATTGGGAGGTATTTCCAAATGTCACTTTCCTCATCTTTCACCTGGAGAACACCACAGACTCCCTCAGCAGACTTCTCCTTTTTCATCCTCTCTATCTTAGCCATACTCTTGCCCTCAAATGAATCCAGGTACCTCACCCAGACCCCTCATGGGCTTCGCAGAGCCCATCTTTCCTGAACAAATTACCAGTTAATACCCAAATAAAATCAAGTTCAGCTAGCAAAGAAGAGGGGAGCGTGAACGTTGGGTCAGGGAAGCAGCGCCGCTCCTGCATGACCTCGCCAGAGTGCTTGGTCCACCTGGGCTTGCTTGTCTGTACGAGAGCTGCTCTACGTCGAGTACCTGAGCTCTGTGCCAGGGTAGGTGTTCAGTACATATGCTCACTATCCTCACAGCAACCCTCTAGTATAAATTCTATTATTACCCCCATTTTACTCATGGAAAAAAGGCTAAGTACTTGTTTGCAATCATATGCTCATAAGCACTATTGTTGGGAATTATTCATCTATTCAGTACTAAAAATCCAGAACCATGTAGATTACTTTAAAATATGCAAACATAAAATTTATATGAGGGGACCAGCAGTTAGTGTAATGGCTATGTTGCTAGATTCCCACATAGTCGACCGCGGTTCGCGTCCTGGACCCGGTGGCTTAAAACTCACGCCGGGTGCATATGTATTCGTGCCCAAGATCTCGAGAGGAGAATGGAGAAGGGATTGTGGTGTGGCCATCCCCCCTGGGGGGTGATTTCTCGCTTTCTGTCTCTGTCTCTGTCTGTCTGGCAAGCGCACGTGCCCTACAGCAAAAACCTCTCCAAAAAAAAAAATAAAAATTTATATAAGCTGTGGTAGCTCATGGGGCAGTTTGTTAATAAACTTAAAATATAATTTCCTCCAGGAATTCTATGATGAGTGGCCAATCAAGCTTGGAGAAGTCGAGCCTTATAAAGGTCCAAAGACACCAGACGGCAGGGTAAGTGTGAACATCTTCCTTGATACTGCCTACATGGGATCCCGGGCTGAAACCGAGAGGCTACCATAGAGAAAGGAACACTGGCCTGGGAAGGGCTGGGTTCTGATCCCGTAACTCCCCAAGGGGCCTGAAGTAGTATAAAGAGACCTGGGCAAGGGATTTGAGGTTCAAGCATCAGACCTGCCCCAAGCCAGCTGGGATGGCCTTATCTAACTCATCGTCTAACTCCTGATTCCTTCTGTGTAAAGCCAGGGCTTGCCAGAGAAGGGGTTCTGAACAGGGGAGGACTCATCAAAACCACCTGTCCAACTTTTTAAAAAGTGCCTGATAGGCCTGGACAGTGGTGCTGTGGTAAAACACCTTGCTCTGCAAGGCTGACCCACCTGGGAAGGTTCTGGACCTGTCTCTGGGAACACTAGGCACGTGTGTGCCCATGATCCGGAGCTGGTTGAAGCGGGTTAGATCATGGCATCAAGACCCTGTTGGATGTACTATTTCTTTCCCTCTGTCTTGCTCATGCAGAAATTCTCTCTGTCTCTCTTGCTTATTGAAGAAATAAATATTAACCTTTTTTTTTAGAATTATTCAATTTTATTTATTCATTCAGTTATTTTAATTTGACCACACACACACACACACACACACACACACACACACACAGAGAAAGTGGGAAAGCAAGCCACCAGGTCTGGGACTCAAACCATGTTTGACCATGTGGGAGTGTCCAGTGCCTTAACCACCATGCTACCTGCTGGTCCCAATATTAAGCTTTTTTAAAAAGTAAAAAATAAAATAAAATAAATAAGGAAGTGCCTGGGCTCTTCTTCAGATGTGCTGGACAGGAGTTTCTGGGAAAGGACTGAGTTGGATTTATCTTCTCCCCCAACTGTAAGTTTCATGAGGGCACGAGCTTGTTTTATTTACCACCCAACACACAGAAAAGAGAAGTTAATGGGATAAAATGTGTCCAGGCCTCTGGTTCCTCATCTTCTTTAAGAAGTAGAGAGACTAGTCCTCAAACCCTTTCCAGCTGACAACATAGTCACCGAATCCTATTTCTGAGGCTCCTGCTCGGATAAGCCAGTGCTGCAGGGGCCGTGTGCTCACTGTGCAGCATGTGCTGCATTGGGAAGTTACAGGATGCCTTCTAGTGACGTTACCAAAGTTAGACATTTCCAGACAACCAGGAAGGATCAGTTTAAAGTTAAAACAGACTAGCTGATGGTTTGGTAGCCAGAGTCGTCCCAAAGGTTGTCTGGGTGAACTCGACCTTTTAAAAACTGAATTTAGCTCACCCTTGTGCACATAGACAAATGGCCAATAAAAGTCCTGGTTTTATTACAAGCTTATCATCAGAATAACACTAGTCTGATCATGTTATGTTATAAGGAAAATGGGAATGGAGAAATAAGGCACTATGTGAAAGAGTTTTAAAGTATATGCTTTTCAAGGGAAAATGTCTTGGAGATACATTATTCTTATCCTCTCCCTCTTCTCTCTCAGGAAGTCATCTTTTATAAAATCATTGATTACATTTTACATGGAAAAGAAGAGATCAAAGTGATTCCGTGAGTATTGTCACGAAGCAGTGGCAGGAGAGGCCATGCTATTTTTTGCACACACGCATGTCTCTGGATAGCAATGATGTTCTTTCTTCCAATCTTCCCCAAGGACACCGCCTACAGACCACTGGACGCTCGTCAGTGGGTTGCCGACATATGTTGCTGAAAATGGATTTGTAAGTTATTGAACCAACTCAAACTTCACGTAATACTGCATGAGTCTCTTATTGGCTGTTAAGAGGTGGCTCCTATTATGAAAGCAAGAATGTACCAGATAAGGGTCAGACGATGGCTTCCTTTGACACAGGCATAGGAGAGAAGCTTGACAGCTGAGTCTAGGTTCACTGGGGATGTTCAAACTCTACATGAAAGCGTTTTTATCAGCATGGGAAATATACACCCATCCGTCAACTTATTCTTCAGCCACACACATTTTAGATGTTCTTTGGAGGTCACTGACTATGATTTATGGTAGGTTTCATTATTTTTTTTAAAGCTTATTTGATTTCTTCCATGAGAGAGACAGAGTGAAATGAGGGAGAGGGAGAGAGGGGCAGCCAGTGACTGATTCATGCTACATTTAACTGTATCTCAAGTATCTTGGTCAAATTTTTGAAGCATAAGTTGGGGTAGGACTTCTGAATATTGAGGTAAAAGCTTGGGCCCCTAAGATCTTGACCCATCTGTAAATGTTCTCTAGAGGCCTCAAAATAAGGACTAAAACAGATGTTTCTGATAGAACAAAGAATGAGCTGCTTTTTGTCTCTTCAAAACACTCATGAAGCCTGCTCAGTCCAATAAATAATGTAATTTATTCAAGTTAGATCATGAAATTAATGAATAGCAAAATAAATTTCCTTAAATTCTTAGACATAAGAACTTAGAAAGATCCTCACATTTTATTTGTAAGGGTTGTTCGGAAATAATCGATGGGGTTCAACTACTCTTCGAAAGCACTTACCTTGGGGCGAGGGGGATGGCAAGATTTGGTGTGGTGACTTGGGGGCCCACCAAAACCCACTCACACAATTGTCGGGAATTTTGTGAACAAGTTGTTAAGCTGTTGGAAGCTAGAGTCTCCCATGGTGGGAGTATTTACACCTTGGGAATTGGCAACAGATACAAAGCAGGGCTTTCCCCAACCAGGGGAGCTGATTTCACCAGCACTCTCTCTGGAGATCAAAGTTCTATTTTCATCCTACGAAACTGGACAAATCACTTAACCTCTTTGGGCATTTATTTTCTAATCTTTAAAAGGAAAAGCTTGACCTTAATCACTAAGTTCTTTTCCAGCTCTAAAGTGCTATGATTTTAAGTATCTAATATAATGTTGGTGGAAAGACGGATTTAGCCTTTTATAAGAGCCATTCGTGAATACAACTCAAGGTACAGAAAATTCAAAATGATCCAAAGTTCAATGATTTCTTTTCCTTAAGGGTGTGGGCCACAGTCTTTGAATTTCATTAGTTAACAAACTCTCACGGGAAATTCTTATTTTGGGACAACTGAAAATCTATCCACCTTTGAGCAGTCTTAGTATCCTTGCTGCACCTGCTCCAGCGGAATGGCCCTTCGGTTCAGCTTCTCCTTCCCGTGGCCTGGGCCGGTATCCGTAGTTCTTTGGCCCGGGAAGCTCAGAGGCTGGGAGAGTAGGACAGCGCTGAGAGGGCGCTAAATCTCATCCAGAGGAGAAGCCAGCTTCAATGAGTTGTTAGTAAATCCAGCCCAGCCGAGGCCCAAGGTGAATAATTTCCCTGCGACCAATCAAGCGACAACTAAGAAACCCTGGCGCCCTGCGCGGACGCCTTCTTTCTTACTCTTCGTGGGTTCGAACGCCTCTGCCTCGGATTGTTTCAGGATTTCCGTCTCCTCTGCTTTCAGATCTGTAACATGCTGAACGCACCTGCGGACGAATACTTCACATTCCAGGTACCTGTGCGTCGGCTGGGAGCTCTCCTCTCCCATTTCTAAGCTCAGGTGTGGCCAACAGGCCACACAGAGGGCGCAGGATCCCCTTGTCCGGGCAGAGCCAGTGACCGCCCATCAGCAGGTTCTTCAGTAAAGGAAGAAGAGACTGGGGAGGAGGAGAGGGACAGGAGAGAAGAGACGGGGTCCCTGTCGCCCCTCCATGCCCTCGCAGTATGCGTCATCTAGAGGCGGCCCAGGGCCTGACACTAGCGGTGTTCAGTGAAGGTCTGCGTGAGTGACGGGCTGGGCGGACCTACAGCAGAATCAGCCAGGGCGGCTCTTCCCTGCAGCTCCCTGCACCTGCTACCAGCGAGAGAACGAGTTCGCCCTGGACTCGGATCCTCCCCAGCTGTTAGGCTTCCTCCACCCACACGCAGAGACCTACTATGCAGAGACCTACTTCCCGGAGCGCCCCCTACGCACACCTCCATGGCCCTGAACCTGTCCCCGTACTTGTCCGTCCAGCCGCCAGGCTTTTCCCACCACAGGGGCCTCCTGCTCAGGCCTGGCTCCCAGCCGGCCGTGGCCTCACTCTGCCCCTTCCTGGCTTCATCCAGTTTACCTGGAGGGTCAGCCTGTCCTCTCTCCCAGTGCCTTTGCACCTGCCAGCCTCTCCTCACTGCCCCCTCTGTCACTCCCTCCCCACCTGCCAGCCTCTCCTCACTGCCCCCTCTGTCACTCCCTCCCCACCTGTCAGCCTCTCCTCACTGCCCCCCCTGTCACTCCCTCCCCACCTGCCAGCCTCTCCTCACTGCCCCCTCTGTCACTCCCTCCCCACCTGCCATCTCTGTCGCTCCCTTTCCACCTGTCACCCCTGTGGTCCCCTCCCCCCATCTCTGTCACCTTTCCCTCGCCTGATCATTGGAGATAAGCTGGCACTTGGCCTTCGGCCTTCTGGCACTTGTTCCGTGTCCTGTGACACCATGGCTCCTGCAGGAGCAGCCACACAGGAGCATCCTTTCTGATTGCCCTGCAGAGAGGAGGCTAGGGGTCTCCCTGGGGCCTTAAGGGGTCCCACGATGGGATAAACCTCCAGTCTCGAGGGGTTTCACAACCCTCCAGGTCTCGCCAGCTTGCTGCCCATGAAGTGCTTCTCAGATCTCCGAGTGGGAAGTGTTAACTGTCCAGAGCTGCTGGGCTCTGGCATCCACTGTCACATTCCCACGGGCTACGCTTTCATGGGCCTCTCGGTACCAGTGACCAAGAGTTACCAGGACCCTACAGCAGACCCGTTCCTAGGAGACGCTGGACTCCTCAGAGACAGTGCCCTGAGGTGTCCCCCGCAGCCCTGCAGACTGTTGGAGGACTGGCCACTTTCTGCCGACCTTGCCTGCCTTTCTCCTTAGCGGGGCCAGGACCCCATCTCTAGCACACCGCTCCCTCACCCTCAAGCCCTCCCTGTGTTCCCAGAGGCTTTGCCTGTGTGTCACTCCACGGACCTGACACGGGACCACCCCAAGCCACCACCTCCTTTCATGCTCCACTTCCTGTCCTTCCTCTACCTGTGCATGCCCCGCAGATCCTCACGGCTCCCTTTAGTACCTGAGAAGTTAGACAGGAAAGCCAGTGACAGCAAGTGAGCGACCGTCAGAGCAGAACTGCAGAGCTGCTGGTCCCAAACTAGGGTCTGCGGGGGGCCGGAGCATTCCTCTGCTGTCACTGCTGCACACAGTGCCCGCTTAGTGGCTTCCAACAACAAGCGTTTTATCTTACAGTTCTGGAGGTGAGAACTCCCCAACTGGGCCACACTGGCTCTCTTCACGGTGTGGACTGTGTTCTTTCTGGAGAACCTGACTCCTTGTCTTTTCTAGCTTCAAGAGACTCCCACATCTTTTGGCTTGTGGTCACTTCTGTCTCCCACACCAGCAAGGGTTCCTTTGGACCTTTCCTCAATCGTCATGTCTCCTTCTCTGGTTCTGCCCCACCCCACTCCCACTTCTACGTTTAAGGGTCCTCGTAATTACATTGGGTCCACCTGGAAAATCCCACTTAACATCTGTTTTAAGGACAGGCAACTAATAACCTTATTTCCATCTGCTACTCTAACTCCCTTTTGCCTAGTAAGATGATATATTCACAGGTTTCAGGGATTAGGATGTCGGCTTACTTAAGGGGTTCTTCCTTTAACATCAGCTAAATGGATTCTCTTCTTCTCCTCTTTTTAGAGAGATTTTTGCTAAAGGCTGCATGCGCTCACCAGAGAGACACAGAGAGACAGAAAGCAAGAAATCACCCCAAAGGGGTGATGGCCACACCACAATCCCTTCTCCTCCATTTTCCTCTTGGCATTTTGGGCACACAAGCACATATGGCTGGTATAAGTTTTAAGCCACTGGGTCCAAGACTCGAACCACGGCAGACTATGTGGGGGTCCAGTGATGTAATCATTACACCATCTGCTGGTCTCATCATCAACTAAATGGATTCTAATTCATGGGGAGGGGAAGTACATAGAACACTCTTAGCTTTAACTTTTTTGCCCTATTAATTTTTCTTAAATCTTAGGTGACTTCTATCACTTTTTTGTCAACATGCTCTAATGGCACAACACGTGAATATGAACAGTAGCCAATGAATACTGAGAAACTGAGAAATGGTGGGTAAGGCTTACTTGGGAAGCTTTAAAAAACATACATGGGGGCCAGCAGATGGTGTAGTAGTCAGGGTGCTGGATTCTCACATGGCCAAGCACAAATTGAGACTCGAACCTGGTGGCTTGAAAAATCACAACAAATAAATATATAAATAAAAAATTTTGTAAAACCCCAACTGTATGGATACTTGGAGTTCTGATGTTATTTTGCATACATGAAATATATCTTCTGTTACTCATTTTGTCCTTAACCTAGATGATAGCATAAATATCTAAGTATCACTCAGTGCTTTCCAAGGACACAGCCTTTGACAACACCATGCTCAGCATCTTATTTTCAAGTTCCTTTTTCTGTATTCATGATAGAGAACATGTACCCGTGAGAGAGAGAAGTAGAGAGAGGAGCGCCCTCCACAGGGTCTGGTTGCACTGCGATCTCCCTCCAGTCCCTCAGTCCACTGGGTCTTGGGCACTTGCACACAAGCCAGGGGTGCTTCCGGCTGACTGGGCCAGCAATTTGAACTGAGTTTGTCATGTGGGTCCCGCTTCTCTTGAGCACCGTGTCAGTACTGCACCATGGAGCCACCTGTTTCTCTAAAGTCTCAACCATTAGGATCCATACATGGAGGTTTAGTGTCTCTGCTTTTCGGTCCATGTGTGAAGACGAGTAATCAATGATAAGCGAGTTATTATATTACTTGTTTAAGTGTTTCACTGTTTGAGCACTGTGAACGTACCTGTTTATGAAGTAGTCCTGCTCTTTGGAAAGAGAATAGTCTCAGAGACATAAACAAACAATTCTGGGGCATTTAGAAAGTACTTGAATGGTATGATAAATTTTGTGGTCTGGGCTATAAGTGATATTAGAATTTTTTTTTTTTGAGATTTTTTGCTATAGGGTGCATATGCTCACCAGAGAGACAGAGAGATAGAAAGCAACAAATCATTTCCTTCACCCATCTCAGGAGGAATGGCCAAACCACGATCCCTTCTCCTCCATTTTCCTCTTGGGATTTTGGGCATGCATACACATACACCTGGCATGAGTTTCAAGCTGCCAAATCCAGGACTCAAACCACAGTAAGCCATGTGAGAGTCCAGCAACATAACCATTACACCATCTGCTGGTCCCAAGTGATAGTAGAATTCTGACAAAGAAAAGTTCTGTATGGATCAGAAAAGTTGAAGGGTTCATGGGAGAGATGAGACTTAACCTGGGCCTCCGAGGATGACCGACTAAGCTGGGGAAGGCTGAGAACGGACCATGCGGTGTGCTGAGTGCTTAACCACTTTGCCGAAGCTACACACTGTACAAATGCTGCATCGTGGTTCTCATTATTCAGAGGGTACTGGAATTACCTGGGAAGCTTATTTAAGATGCATGCCCAGGGTCAGCCAGGCAGGGTGATGGTTAAAAGGCAGCTGGATCCCACATGGCTGACCGTGTGCTTCAAGTCCCAGACTCAGTGACTTGACAAACATGCTGGGCATGCAGCCAAAAATCTCAAGAGGAGAATGGAGAAGGGATTGTGGCATGGCCATCCCTTCTGAGGGGTGCTTTCTCATCCCCACCCCCACCCCTGTGTCTCTCTGGAAAGTACATGCAACCTATGACATTAACAAAGCAAAACTAAAAGAGTATAAAACAAGCTAAACACAATCCATTGATGTGGCCCTTGGGCCACACTTTGAGAAACACTTGTAAGTTTTCATATTTGCTTTTCCACATTAGACTGTAAGTATCTCGAGGGCAGAGTCTGTGGTTTATTCATCTTTGACCCCTAGCCACTGGCCCAGTTCTTGGCTTGACATAGTGGCTTGACAGATGTTTACCGAACTCAATGTACCATGGAACAAAAGACCATCTTGTTGGATCTGTGGGAAACCAGAAACCACACTACTGAGGAGGTATTTCATCAGAGAGGATTTAATATAAAGAATTAGCTAAGCAGATGTTAGAAAATAGGAAAAGTGAAAAAAGAACAGTGAGGTAACCTAGCAGTAAATAAGCTTCCCATTCTTTGCTTGAAGGGAAAGGTTAGGGCTGTCAGAACACAGACTCTCACTTCTAGTATGCACGGCTGGATGTGCCAGAGGACACTCAGTGGCTGTGTGGGTTTAGCCACAACGTGACACAGAGTAGGAATGGTACATCTCACACCCAAAGGCTACTCTTGTTTTAAAGTAAATTGGACCAAGTGGTGGGTTGTGGGATGTGGCTACGAAGGGGTAATACGAGGAACCTTGTGATGACAGACGAGTATCTATCTAGTGGTCTGTTTCTTGATTTTAGTGGTGGTTGAAAATCTACGCATGGGATACATTTGCATAGAATTATATAAGGGGACTTTAAAGCGTTTATGCATCATGAGAAAGCCCACATACACGTGTGCACTCGCACAAATAAGTGAATATAAGTCTGTTGAACTCCAACTAACTATTGTGCAGTGTGTATTTCCTGGCTTTGATATTTACTATAGTAATATGAGATGTTGGCATCGGAGGAAGCTGGGTGACAGATGCATGGGACTTTTCTGTACATTTCTTTTCAAGATCCTGTAAATCCATAATTATTTTAAAATAAAAAGTTAAAAAAAATAGGACCAGCCCATGGTCTAATAGGTAGTGAAAAGAGCTGGATCTCACATGGCCAACAGGGCAGTTCAAGTCCCGGGCCCAGCGGCTTGAAAAACACGCCAGGCACATGTGCACACATGCCCAGTTCCCAGAAAGAGGGAGAAAAGGAGGAGAAGGGATTGCGGCATGGCCATCCCCCATGGGAGTGCTTTCTCACTTTCCCTCTTTCTCTTTGTCTCTCTCCCTAGTGAGTGCACGTGCTACCTGGCAAATTTAATTTAACAAAAATGTTTTAAAAAAATAACTCAAATTCCCTTATTATTTGTAGAAAGGACCTGTAGATGAAACTGGTTGGGTCATTAAAAATGTCTTGTCCCTGCCCATTGTCAACAAGAAAGAAGAGATCGTGGGCGTGGCTACATTCTACAACAGGAAGGACGGGAAACCTTTCGATGAGCATGACGAACACATAACTGAGGTGAGCACAGCGGGCGGCCATGGGGTGAAGGAGTGTCATAAGATAATGGAGGAGGCATACTTACCTGTTATCTGGGCGGTTCTGAAGGGCAGTTAGACATGAGCGACATGTGGCTGTAATCAGTGCATCGTTATTGATCCTACTTCCTGACTTCTATAACTGCAACACTTTCCGCCAAAGTATAAAATTTAGGTTTAGCCATTTTTTTTCTTTTCTTTCTTTTTTTTTTTTTTTGTTGTTATAGGGTGCAGATGCTTACCAGAGAGACGGAGAGAGGGGGAAGCTGAGAAATCATCCCCAGGGGTAGGGGGTGGTGAGGGGAGAAGCATGCTGCAATCCCTTCTCGTTCCCCTTTCAGGACTTTGGGCACACACCTACACACACACATGCACCCCCACTGTGTCTTTCAAGGCGCCAGGTCCAGGACTCAAACCACAAAGTCAGCCAGTGGGATTCAGCAGCCCTAACCACCATGCCACAGGTTGGCCCAACCAAATTTCTGTGTAAGATTAGGAAAACAAGAACGAAGATTTCTATCTTCTTTATCTCCCTCTCCTCCCTCTGTTCCCTGTCATTCATGTTCTCACCCCCAGTCCTCTCATTTGTAGTTCCTGCTTTATTCTACTGGTGTTTGGAATCCCTGTCCTCTGTAAGGCATTCTGGACATAGTATGTTTTGAAAAGCAAGGCCTGAAGGGTGTAGGGATGCAAGAAATCCCAGTGGCTTGGGAGACTAAGGCAGAAGGATTGTGACCATGAGACTCTCTTTAAAGATAAAAGTTTTTTTTTTTGAGAGAGATTTTCACTGTAGGGCGCGTGCGCTCGCCAGACAGACAGAGAGAGACATAGAGACAGAAAGCGAGAAATCACCCCCCAGGGGGGATAGTCACGCCGCAATCCCTTCTCCTCCATTCTCCTCTCAGGATCTTGGGGACGCACGCACACGCGCCCGGCGTGAGTTTTAAGCCACCGGGTCCGGGACACGAACCGCGGTCGACTACGTGGGAGTCCAGCGACATAGCCATTACGCTAACTGCTGGTTCCCAAAGATAAAAGAATTTTTTTTGAGAGAGGTTTTGCTATAGGGCATGTGCGCTCACCAGAAAGAAAGAGAGAGACAGAGGGACAGAAAGCAAGAAATCACCCCCAGGGAGGATGGCCATGCCGCAATTCCTTCTCTTCCATTCTCCTCTTGGGATCTTGGACACACATGTACACACGCTTGGTGTGAGTTTAAGCCACCGGGTCCAAGACTCGAACTGCGGTCGACTATATGGGAGTCCAGCAACACAGCCATTATGCCAACTGCTGGTCCTGAAAAAAATATTTTTGTCTGGGACTGATTACATGTTTTTTCTTAGGTTAAAATAAGGAACTGTGAGGCAGCTCTGCGGCCTGATGGTTAAGGAAGCTGGATCCCACATGGCCAACCCAGCCCCAAGAAACCCTCTGGGCACATGTGCATGAGTGCCCAGAATCTCAAAAGGAGGGAGAGATGGAGGAGAAGGGATTGTGGCATGACCATGCCCCTGGGGGTACTTTCTCCCTCTCCTGCTCTGCGTCTCACTCTGGGGCTGCACGTGTTCTCTTGCGAAAACCAATAATAAGGAACTGCTTGCTCATATGTGGATGTTAAAAACTGACCTCATGGAAGGAAGGAGTAGAATGGTGGTTACCAGGGACAGGGAAGGCCACGGGAGAGGGGGCGATAGGGAGCGTTGGTTAACAGACTACAGGATTTCTTTGGGGACGAGGGGATGTCTAGAATTATATAATATTGATGGTTGGACAGCATTTCAAATGTACTAAAAGCCATTTTACTGTACAATTTATAGTGTTTAAAATGGTGAATTTAGAGCTATGTGAATTTTATCCCAATAAAAATAACAACAACAACAAACAAACGAACAAACAAAACAGGTAAATTGGGACCAGTAAAAGGTGTAATGGTTATGTCACTGCACTCCCATGTAGTTGACAGCAGTTTGAGTCCTGGACCTGGTGACTTAAAACTCACACCGGGTGCTTGTATGTACGTGCCCAAAATCCCAAGAGGAAAAGGGATCGTCATGTGGCCATCTCTCCTGGGGTGGTGATTTCTTGCTTTCTGTCTGTCTTTCCAGCAAGTGCATGTACCCTATAGCAAAAACATCTCTAATTTTTTAAAATAAAATAATGAATAAAAAAGGAACTGGGTTGTTGATGGCAGAGGGAGGGTGATCTATAGGAAAGTATGCAGATTGTTGCCTCTGATGATTTTCTGTAACTTTGGAGAATCTGAGTCACTTTCTATACATTTCAGACCCTCACACAATTTCTTGGATGGTCTCTTTTAAATACTGACACCTATGACAAAATGAATAAGCTGGAAAATAGAAAAGACATTGCTCAAGAAATGCTCATGAACCAAACCAAAGCCACGCCTGATGAGATTAAGTCTATTTTGGTAAGTGGAGAATCGAGTCATGTGGGATACTAGCTGACATCTAACCATGGCTTCTGGAAATCACCTAATTGCTCAGGGGTCTGACCAATGAGAACAGCTTTAGGCCTGGGCTAAAAGGGGGGAGGCAGAGAAGGAGGGCTTAGTGGAAGATCTCAATGGCTCAGTGTATACAGACCCTTAGTGGATATCCAGGCTGCTTGGGTGGAATAGCATTTTATTAAAGGAGTTCTTAAGTTTGTAGGAATTGATGTCATGACATCTAAAGTCTAGTGTTTTAGCTAGAAAAAAAAATTCTATTAAGGGAAATGTATCAGTCAGCAATTATCATATAATGCTGTGTAACAACTATAACATCTCAACACACTCATTAAAAAGCATCTACAAGGGGTCTTCAACAAGTTTATGAAAAATGCATGTTATTAAAAATGCATTTTTTAAATTTCATGAAAATAAACTGATACTTTAATTCCATATTTTCATGAACTTTTTGAATTCTCTTTGTATTTCTCACTCATGCATTTGTGCATTGACCAGGCTTTTGCTAACCTTGGCTGGGCTTAGTTGCGAGTTTGGTTTGCTATATGTGCCTCTCATCCTTTTTCACCCAACAGCCAAAAAGATATTCTTCTCATAGTGATGAGAAAGGGTTAAGAGAGCAAGCCGAACCATGCAAGCACATTTCAAAGTTTTACTTGCAATACATTCACTAAAATTCTCATTAGCCAAAGCAAGTCACATGACCAAGACCAATATCAAAGATGCTGGGGACTGAAGAATTTTTGCCAACAGTATTCAGATCACCACAAAATTAAGGGGAAATGTATTCCAATTAACTATATTCTTTTGGGGTGATAGAGAAATGGATTGTAGTTTATTATTTCTTAGATAAAACTCATCTTTGTATCCAGAATGCATCTTTGTCATGGTACTCACTATAGCATATTTTAAATATATCGCAGCCAATTTTTTTTTTTCCAGATTTTTGTTATAGGGTACATGTACTCACCAGAGAGAAACAGAGAAATGGAAAGTGTGAAAACACCCCCTGAGGGATGTCCATGCTGCAATCCCTTCTCCTCTCAGGATTCGGGGCATACATGCACATACATTCAGTGTGATATTCTTTTCTTTTCTCCTTTAATTTTTTTTAAGATTTAGTTTTATTTGTTATTACTTTTTTTGGAGAGATTTTTCACTATAGGATGCGTGTGCTCGCCAGCCAGACAGAGAGAGACATAGAGATAGAAAGCGAGAAATCACCCCCCAGGGGGGATGGTCATGCCGCAATCCCTTCTCCTCCATTCTCCTCTCAGGATCTTGGGCACGCACGCACACACGCCCGGTGTAAGTTTTAAGCCACCAGGTCTGGGACACGAACCACGGTCAACTACGTGGGAGTCCAGCGACATAGCCATTACGCTAACTGCTGGTTCCTTATTTGTTATTACTTTTCAGTTTGCTATAGAGCATGTGTGCTCACCAGAGAGAGACAGAGAGACTGAGAAACAGAAAGAGAGAGAGAAAATGAGAAAGCAAACTGCTAGGTCTAGGACTCAAACTGTGGTTGGCCATGTGGGAATCCAGCATCCAAACTACCACTCTACCTTCTAGCCATCCAACTTATTTTAATAGTAGAAAAGTTAAATAGAAATTTTTTTCTTCATAAGAACTTCACACCTCAATTACTTTTATATTTTAGAAATATCATGAGAAGTTAAATATAGAAGTCATTGAAGACTGTGAAGAAAAACAACTTGTCAAAATTTTGGTAAGTGTTTCCCTTCTGTCCTTAATGTCTTGTTAATAAGATGTACTATTAGAACATGTTTTCTTTTTTTAATCTCTATTTATTTATTTGTTGTGATTTTCGAGCCACCTGGTCCAGGACTCGAACCATGGTTAGCCATATGGGAATACAACACTTTGATCTCCACGCCACCTGCTGGCCCCACAGCATACTTATTTTTCAAGTAAATGCTAAGTTTTTTATTCCTTGACACCTTTAAAGTCTAAAAAACAAGGGCATTTCTTTTAAAAATTGCTCTCTGATTCCCCGCTATTCTTCATCTTTCTCTCCTATCGTCCATTGATACTTGAAATCACAGCTAAGCTAGACTACTGTAAAAGGGACTTCAGGCCCAGAATTTGGAGATGTCAAGGCCTACTTTATTTTAACAGCTTTGGACTACACCGCGGCCAACCCCCGAGGTGACGGAGCCTCAGTAGAACCTAGACTCTAGTTCTAGGCCTAGTTTTCACCTGCCATCTCTGGTTTTTCTCTGGACTCTGAGGAATTTACTTCTTTCCTGTCGTTGCCGTTAGTATGCCTGTTATTTCCCTCCCAGTCATTAATCCCGGTTTTTGTTGTGTCCGTCTACTGCTAACCCTTCCCAATGAGGGCTAATGGTCAGAGCTTGTCTGTTTCGGTTCTAGACTGTACATTTCATTCTTTTTTTGTTTCCAATTCTGTGTTGGAACTTTCTATGGTTTTACAACTATTTTACTGTCTTTCCCTCTGTTTTTATATAGCTGTTGATTGTAACTATGATCATAACCTACCTCAGTACATGAATCACCTATAGCTCTGGTTCCGCTGTCTATTTTTACCATGGAGTTTCAGTCATTTGATCCTGCGGTGGTGCATCCTCTGTGATATTCATATCATAAACCAGATCCTGTGGATAAAAACATGGCAGGGCCCTGAGTGATACTATCTTTCTGCAAGAAGGGTTAAATTTTCTTCTGGTGGATGAAGAAAGTTGTTTTCAACTTCTGCTAGGGATGGTCTTTTTCAGTTTTGCCTTTAGAAGTAGGGTGGCATCTTTATTTCTAGAGTGTGGCTCTTCATTGATCCCATGAAATCCTGGAATGTTTACCAACATTTCAGAGGCCCGGATCCCATCTGACTGAAACTGAAATAATATCACATTTAATTCCCCCATTGTGGACCACCAGGCTCCACACTCTCATCCTGACCCTTTGTTCTGCAAACATAAAGCAATTGACCTTTGATCCCCCCTTCTTTATTTCAAAAAATAATTTATATAGGGCATGTGCACTCACTGGAGAGACAGACAGAAAGTAAGAAATCACCCCCCAGAGGAGATAGCCACACCGCAATCCCTTCTCCTCTTATTCTCCTCTTCAGATTTTGGGCATGCACACACATGCACCTGGCGTGACTTTTAAGCCACAAGGTCTGGGACTTGAACTGCAGTCAACTACATGGGAGTCCAACAATGTAATCATTTTGCCATCTGATGGCCCCTGATCTCCCCTTTTAAAGTTTCTTCATATACTTTTTCTAAGAAAGGAGGCAGTGCTCTATCAGCGGCCTGACACCAAATGTACCCCTGGCTTTCAGCCAGCCCTAGATCGTGGGCACATGTGTGCCTGACATTCTCAGGCAAGTCTTTGGACTTGAACCGGGGACGTTACAATGCAGGGTAGTCTCACGCAGTGTCACATTTTACCACTGTGCCACTGTCTGGCTCCCGACTCTGTTTTGAGCCTAAGCCTCCATTTTTCATGTGTTCGTGTTACCTGCAGCCTCCCTCCTTCTCTTGCTTTGGCTCCACCTTTAAGCACCTCTCTGTTTTGTTTTTTTTTTCCCTTTTTAAAACATTTTTATTTTGGGAACCAGCAGGTGGCGTGGTGATTAAGGCGCTGGACACTCCCACATGGCCGACTAGGGTTCAAGTCCTGAATCTGGTGGCTTGCTTTCTCACTTCCTCTCTCTCACTCTCAACCTCTGTCTCTCTCTGGTCAAATTTAAAAAATAAATGAATGAATAAATAAAAATAAAATAATTATTTAAAAAACATTTTTATTTTACTCTTTGTTTTATTTTATTTTTATTATTATTTATTCATGCAATCGGTATGCATCATTTAGATTGTAAAGATGATCTACACCGCAGTCCAGCCCAGTTGAGTATACTATACACATCACGCATCTTTTTGCAAAACGAAACTTTAGCTGTCATCCATGACACTAGAAATTCTCTGGTTTCCATTTTTTTTCTTATAAGTGTTAGCCATGGTGGCACATGCACTGGCTGGAGAGAGAGAAAGAAACAGAGAGGGTCTGGCTTCCTCCTTGAAGGAAAAAGGACCTTCTATTGCAAAATCAGTAAAATGGGCAAAGAATCTACAGACTTATCAAAAAAACAGACTATTTTGAAGTCAGATTTACTCTGGGCTAATCACAAATCGTTTCTGCATAAAGCTGGGGACGTAAACAGATATTTCAGAGGAGTGCTCCCAACAGTCCTAGCACCATTTCTTAGCTACATCATCATTTGCCCGGCTCTGCCTACCGGATTCCTTTCCCAGGTGTGCATCTCCATTGTAGGTTCGGGGAGGCCTGAGCCTTTTCCAGGTTCTGCCGTTCTGTCTCTGTGCTGTAAGGACTAGAGAAGCAACACATTTTTTCAGGCAAAGGAGGTGTTGAAAGTCCTCCTCCCCCCTCCTCCTGCACTCTAGTGGGTCACGTGTCAGGTTGCCCATACATGTCCTGATAGTTACTGAACCATGGAAAATTGGGAGATTCCCCAGAGAAGTGCCTTATTCACTTTTTTCATTCAGTCAGTAGTTATTGAGATGTGCTATTATACATGCCACAGTGTCAGGTGCTGAGGGCGAAAGATGTTAAGATCGGATTTGAGAAGCCCCTCTGTATTAGGAAGACAAAAATGCAAGCAATGCCACTGCCTTGCATGGACGTGCTCACAGACCGGGAGCACCCAGGACCCTGGGAAGGCCAAGGGCTTGAGGCTGCTCACAGAAGGTGACACGGTCACAGAGGTGGTAGCCATGACACCAAGGCTGGAAGGGAAAACTGGAGTTGGCCAGGCGGAGATTGATGGCGGGGACAGAGAGGGCAGGAGATGGCCATGGGAAGGATGGGCAGTACACACCAAGGGGGGTGTACTGCCATAGCATGTGGGCCTCAGGAGACCAAGTCAGCTGGGTGTGGCTGGACCCTCTGAGGGGAGAGGGGAAAAGCTGCCTGTGGGGCCGGGAGCAGGTCCAGACCATAACCGCCTGACATTTGGGACCCAGAGAGGCACCAGTCAGATGTTCATGGGGTGTCCTTCTGGGAGCCTCCTACCAGCCAGGCAGGAGGCGTGGAGTGGGGCTACTCCGTAGTCAAGAATGACGACTGGGATCGGAAACCATCTATTCTTACTTCAACAGCAATGGGGTGACAGCAGCTTCCTCTTCCATTGCATTAGATCTCAGCTGCGTGATTCTTACTGAGTGGAAAACCAGCCTGAGGGAGCCAGAGCTTCTGCTTAGCCCAACAAGGAACCTTTATTTTTTCAGTCTCTCTGTATCGCAGATGGTAAAACGGTTGTTCTTCAAAACCTGTGATTTCTGTCTCGCACTATTACTTTATCGGCTTGCCCGGGACTGCAAATGGGGCCTGGGGTCCAATCTGAGAACCTGATTAAGAAAAAAAGAGGAGTTGAGTATTGAAAACAATCAAGGCTTCTGTAACTAAGCATTCTATTTTGCATCAAAGAAAGAATTTTGGGTTTGGGATTGAATCCCATCACTTCCAAGGTTTTATTTATTATTATTATTATTATTTTGGAGAGGTTTTTGCTATAGGGCACACGCTTGCCAGAAAAACAGAGAGAGACAGAGAGATAGAAAGTGAGAAATCACCCCCCCTCCCCCAGGTAGATGGCCACACTGCAATCCCTTCTCCTCTATTCTTCTCTCAGGATCTTGGGCATGCACACACACACACACACACACACGCACCTGGCATGAGTTTAAGCCACCGGGTTCAGGACTAGAACCACAGTCAACTACATGGGAGTTCAGCAACATAGCCATTACACCAACTGCTGGTCCCCCAAGGTTTTAAAATAAAGTTTCATCATTTCAGTTTCATCAGTTGTAAAGTGGGGATAATTGTGTAGGTTTGGTGTGAGGATAATCTACTGCATAGATTATGGGGCATAGTGGCTCAGGGAAATGTATGAGTTATTCTTTTATTATAATTTTGCTATGCACCTAAAGTTGGATATGTCCACTCTCGGGAAAATGGTGGGTATAATCTGTCCTTTTTTCAACAGAAAGAGGAATTACCAGACCCAAAGACAGCAGATCTGTATGAATTTCGCTTCAGTGACTTACCTGTCACAGAACACGAATTGGTAAAATGTGGACTACGCCTGTTCTTTGAAATAAATGTGGTGGAGAAATTCAAAGTACCTGTTGAGGTCAGCAGTATTTCATTTCAGACTGTGGGATTCTGTTGCCCTCCTGGGCTAAGCTTTTCTGTGGTTCCAAAGCTCAACTCTGTCTGGGTTTTAAATTCTTAACTTTGTAAATGTGGTGGCTCAAACTCAGTAAACAAGACCAACGCATTTTGTTTTCAGATAAGATTGTCACAGACCTTCTAACCTTCAGAGTGCTATTCCAAAGTCTGAGTGGTGTTGTCTTCTCTTGGGAACAGGTTCTTACCAGATGGATGTACACCGTGAGGAAAGGGTACCGCGCCGTTACCTACCACAACTGGCGGCATGGGTTCAACGTGGGGCAGACCATGTTTACTTTGTTGATGGTAGGCACAGGGTGCTGGGACTCCCGGTCCTGCAAAGGTCCCACTTGTGCCTGGTGGGAAGTGGATATGGTCCCTCATTCTAGTTGGCCATTTAAAATGCACAGGCACCATCCTGCAAACTTCCTACAGATAGCCCAGGGAATGTGGATATCCCTGGGCACTTGGATTATTGCTCAGACACTGGCGTACTTACCACCTCAGGGGACAGTGCGGTCACCTGCTGGCTTTGTAACTGCTCAGAATGCCACAACGTTCATGAGCTTGCAAGCCAGCTTGCTCTCAAAACATGGCGGATCCCCTTCTCCATGGAGGGCAGGGCCTGCCGCACCTAGCATAGGAGTGTATGGATCCAAGCAAATGCATACGTAACTATGTTTTAGACAGGAAGACTAAAGAAATACTACACGGACCTCGAAGCCTTTGCCATGCTCGCCGCTGCTTTCTGCCATGACATCGACCACAGAGGCACGAATAACTTGTACCAGATGAAGTAAGTGAGCGCAGGTGCAATGCTGGCTCCTTCTGGTGGTCGTTGGAAGGTGCCTGGTGAGAAGAAAACTTGGCCTTGTCCCTTGGCCCTTTCAAGTCCTCTTTGCTGTGTTTGGGCATCTCGGCCATGTCCTGCTCTCTCCTGAGTGCTGGCCATCACCATAGCGTCTGCCCCTTCTCCTGGGCTGGCTTCCCCTTCCCTTTCTGCTTCCATTCCAGATGTGCCCTTGTTTCACTCTTTCAACTTGTACCAGATGAAGTAAGTGAGCGCAGGTGCAATGCTGGCTCCTTCTGGTGGTCGTTGGAAGGTGCCTGGTGAGAAGAAAACTTGGCCTTGTCCCTTGGCCCTTTCAAGTCCTCTTTGCTGTGTTTGGGCATCTCGGCCATGTCCTGCTCTCTCCTGAGTGCTGGCCATCACCATAGCGACTGCCCCTTCTCCTGGGCTGGCTTCCCCTTCCCTTTCTGCTTCCATTCCAGATGTGCCCTTGTTTCCCTCTTTCCACCTGTGTGTAGTCAGCGTGCGTCCAAGTGCTGAAGTGTCTGACGCTCAGGCTTACACTCACACCCACCTGTGACACCTGGATTTCAGGGTTTCAGATTCGGAATATTACTCTGTGCCACTGACTTGCATCATTTTCTAATTCTTCTCTGAAGTCCCTGGTGACTTTTCTGGAAGTGCTAATAAGCCATCTGTTAGACTGTTGCAGAGAGTGACACCAATCTCCTGTTCTCTCATCTACAAACGGCTCCATTTTTCTACTCTTACAACTTTAGGGTACATTTTTCTTGTATCCAGATTTCAATGATCTCCTCCATCGTCTTCAGATTTCCCGAAGAATACTAACACCGCCCACCCCTCCCCTCCGCCACACACACACACAGACACACACACACCCAGATTCCTTCAGGAAGTTACGATGTTCCCCATCTGGGTTAAAATAACCTTAGTGCTTCCTTACTATCGCCACTCCTGGCTGGACTTTTGTTTTTTAAGTTTATTTCTTTCTGAAAGAGAGACCCGCAGCCCACCCCACTCCGAGGCAGCCTAGACCACAGGTACTCAAACACACACCCCTGGTGCGCTCAGGGGAAGTCCTGGGATGTGAACCCAGGAGTTGCCCATGTGAGCCTAACCACATCAACCACTGTACCATCATCTGGTCCTGGAATTTTAATTTGCAAAAATTATTTTTGGAAATACAAGGAGAAATGGAAGGTTGGGTAATCAAGTCACACGGCATCCCTGCTGAGGCTCACTGCTTTGGTCATTTTCTGATTGCCTGGACAGTACTGGAGCCTAAACTGTTTTCCACACTTCAAACCTACAGTTGTCAGACTTCCAATATAGAACATTATTTAGTACTGGGACTTTTTTCTTTTCTTTCCTCAATACTCGATTAAAATCTTTAATAACTTCTCTGCCAATTTTTTAAAAGAAAACATCTCAACGAATTCAGTTTCCCCTTCTCCAAATACATACATATAAGTCCATGTGTATGTATGTGAATGTGTGTATATAAATTCTTGTTTTTAACCAAACCATTTATATTGCAGGTTAGCACGACATGTTCCTGAAGAGTCTAGATAGTTATTTTGCAGGCTATCCCTTAGTCTGGATTTTCCCAAACGTTTCCTGATTACTAAGTTCAGGATAGACATTTTGGGCAGGAACTCCACAGAGGGTGCCAGGTCCCTGTCGGTGTGCTGCATCAGGAGACCAGTGACAGCAATTTGCCCCATTATCTCCGAGGTTAAGTTAACCTACTTATGGTGATGTGCATCGGATCTCTTTATGTAAAGAAATATTGTCTCCCTTGTAATGAATAAAGAATACATGAGGTGATATTTTGAAACTAGGTGAATATCCAGCTTCTCAATAACATTTTTTGACTGTTTTTAAATCTAAAAGAATTTAAGAGACCACTCTTTTCTAACTTGAATTGAGCTTCATTCATTTTTTAAATCACCAGTGTTGGCCCTGAGTAGGTATTTCAGTGTGTTAAAATTATCATCAGGGCCAGCGCCATGGCCTAGTGGTTAAGGGAGTCAGATCCCACGTGACTGACCACTTGGCTCAAGTCCTGGGCCTGATGACTTGAAAAGCACATGAGGCGTGTGTGTGTATGCCCCAATCCCAATAGGATGGAGAAGGGATTGCAGCATGACCCGTGTCCCATGAGGAGTGCTTTTTCCCCCTCCCTCTCTGTCAAGCACATGTGCCCACTGACCACAAAAAGAAAAAAAAAAGTTATAACCTATTATACTGGTCAGGAATATCTAACTGTCCCCCAGCTAGAGTATTTGGCTTACCAGACCTGCAAGTAACCTGGAAATGATTCGTTCCCTCTCTAAAGTATGGCTGTCCATGGAATAAAATGAAACTTCTCTACTAAGGCTGCCACTGTATTTCTGATTTCTTCCTTCCTTCAAATTATGTACCCCATATTTTCACAACACATAATCTGTGGCCCTTTCACTTCAGATTCTTTCCCCCCTTTCTTCCTTTTATCTGCTTGTTTTCAGTTAGTTTCTCCCTGGCTAGATCAGGAAGGACTGGAGAAACACAGGGTGCCAAAGACCAAGCTCCCCACTTAGGGGAAGCTGAGACTAACCATTAACAAATGGGATCTTTAAAAAAAAAAAATTGCACTCCCAATAGGACCTGGTACACTCCTTTTTTCTTCTCATCAGGATCCTGGACATGTGTGCACATGTGTAGGCATGTTTTTCAAGCTGCTGGAGCCAGGCCTTGCCCTGGCATTTGGCTATGAGTAGTATGGCTCCCTTCACACCATGCTTAACCACTGAGCCATGAGGCTGGCCTAACAAAGGGACCTTTATACTTAAATTTATGTCACCAGCTTGGGGAGGAAAGAAAAATTTCTTTATAGTGACTTTTGCCTTGATCACTGGACATTCTAAATGAACACTTTTTGCGAAGATGGCGTATGAGCTTCCACAGCTTGGCTGTGTGTTTTATAAATCCCAGGGAATTTAAAACCCCAAGGAATTTAAAGATTTTTGGAAGCTAGCTGGTGGCATGGTGGTTAAGGCAACTGGATCCTACATGGCCAGCTCTGTGGTTCAAGTCTTGGAACTGGCAGCTTGAAAACACACAGGGTACACATGTGTATGTGCCCAAGAGGAGAAAGAACTGCAGCCTGACCATCTCCCATGGGGGGGGGGTGCACTTTCTTACTTTCTCTCTCATCTCTCTCCAGAGAGTACATGCACCCTCTGGCAAAAATTTAAAAATAACATGTTATTATCATTAATGATTATTTTACCATTTCACAGATGTTGGGTGGGCAGGGGATTGAGACTGTAAAGATTCTGTATGGGGTGGATTTAACAGCTAGAATCATGGAGTGTCCTCTTCCTCCTAGGTCAACGTCTCCACTAGCCAGGCTTCACGGGTCTTCCATTTTGGAGAGGCACCACCTAGAGTACAGCAAGACTCTCCTGCAGGATGAGGTAGGTAAGCCTCTTTATAGGGCATCTCAGGAGTCCTGGATCAAAGCACTAACCCAGGAAAATGCTTGGGAAGAGAGTGTCCTTGAGTTATAGCAGTTGACGATGTATAATATAATCCCCGTATTGAGTCACTGGATAGAAACGACTGTTGCAGTAGCTTTTGAACCACTGAGTTGGAAGTTACAGAGGAAGAAAGAACCGTGGAAAGTCAGACTCTTTGTGGGTCTGTGGGGAAAGAGGGAAAAGCTTATGGTGGATGCCAAAGAGCTCTGCACCATAAAGCATACCCAAGCACATGCTTCGTAGGAAAATGGAGTAAAGCACACTTTTATTTTGGTGCAAACAACAAACAAAAAAAGACAAACCTGAAATCCATGTGTAGTTTTTCATGACACGTTTTCCATGAGCTCTTTGAAGCTCCCTGTCATATTAATGTAAAGCCAAAAGGAAGCTACATGGCCACTGGTTTTCTAGCTTGGTCATGGGCCTGTGCAGTAGAGTGTGGTTTATGCATTTGGTTGAGGTCAGGTTTGGTAGCAGAGTGGGCCTGAAATAGAACATGACAGAGTCAGACGCCTGCCATCAGAAAGGCTCTGGGTCCTGCTCTCAGAGTTCCACAAGGCCAGATGACATCCTGTGAGGACGAGGCAGGGTATGGAGAACAGAGGGGTAGGATGGGGTGGGATCGAGAGGACTTTATGCAGGACATGGCTGGGAGCCTCTTCAATCCACCCTGGTTTACACCTATCGGTAATTCTAACCTGCATGTGGCAAAGTCACTCTTCTTCCCTACATCGATTTTATTTAAGGGTAATAGAGGCATGTGGGAAAGTTGTGGGTATAATCTAATCGCACAATTCCAAACCACAAACAATTCAAAGGAATCATTATTAGATTGAGGGGAACACCATTTTCCATCAGCAGAGAACTTTCTCAGAACACATGCTCACTAGAATCAGCAAGCCCTCTGGAGAGTGGGGCTTCTCTTGGTTTCAATAATCTGTCATTAAAGGATTGGGGAGGAAAGGTTGGTAGGTAGTGTAGTGGTTAGGGCGCTGGACTCCCACATGGCCAACCGTGGTTCAAGTCCCAGAACTGGCGGCTTGCTTGCTCACTTTCCCTCTCTCTCTCTGGTCAAATTAAAATAATGATTATAAGGGACCAGCAAATGGCATAATGTTTATGCTGTTGGACTCACACACAGTTGACTGCAGTTTGAGCCTCAGACCCAACAACTTAAAACTCATACGGGGCACGTGTGTGTGTGTCCAAGATCCTGAGAGGGGAATGGAGAAGCCTTAAGGGATTGTGGCGTGGCCATCTCCCTTGTGTGGGTGATTTCTCACGTTTTGTCTCCCTGCCTCTGGTGAGTATATGCACCTGATAGCAAAGCTCTTTCCAAAATAATAACAATAAATACAATAAAATAAAAATAATTCTTCAAAAAATAAAGGATTGGGGAGGAAATGTACAGAAACATGTCCACGTTTAGGAACCCACTAAATTTTTCTAGGTAGTGAGAAGCCAAGATGGTTCACATAAGCTGAGTGGGAAAATCTTTCAAGGCAAAGTGTAATTGGGCAGGGAAGTGGAAAAAGGAAAAAAAAAAACTATCAGAGTGGTTTTATGTAATAATCTGTGAGTGACACAGTGCCTCAAACCATTTCTATTCTAAACCTGCTGGCATTTCTGTGTCACAAAGCTCTTGCTGAAGCACTCCCCCTGTGCCTCAGGACGGCAGTTCGCAGCCCAGGGCACCCAGACCAGCTGCTTCAGAACCAGCCACTTAAATCAGTCGGCGGGCAGGCCGGTAAAGGACAGATGGTTTATCAATATTGATGCTCTCGCATCTGAGTTGAGCAAAATCTTCTTTGTTTTATTTATCAGTTTGGTTTATATAGTTAGTGTACAGATAAACCCACACAATTCCGGGTGTTTTAAGAAAATCATCACTGATTTTCACTCTTACTGTTAAATATTTAATTCTTTTAAACTCAGAGACAATGCTTGGTCACTATCAACTTCCTCTGGAAATGGACTTTTAAAAAACATGTAGTATGATTAGTACTAAATAGACACCTAAAAATAGTAGTCTCTACCCAAACTACTAAAAATCACTTCTAAAAATTTCAAATTTATTGATTTGCTTTAAATTAACAGATGAAATGTCATGTATTTATTGTAAACATGCCGATATGGTACACATAGTGCAGTATGTGTGTGTGTGTATCACAATGGCTAAATTTACCTAATTAAAATGTGGGTTACCTCACAGAGTTATACATTTCGTGGTACCTGGGTTACTTTTCTAAAAAAACCTTTGTCTCCCACATTCAGCAATTTCATTTGGTCAATTTCTTTAAAGAATTTCTGCCAACTTCTACCCCAATGATAATGTATTGAACAATAGCATTCTTAAGTCATGTCTAAGTAATAAATAAAATGTTTTTCATTAGGAAAACACACAGAAACATACACACAGGTCTTGGGTCCATTTTCCTGCTGGTTGACAAGCTCTCTGACATTGGGGTTTGGGAATCTGCAGTTTGAATCAGATCTGAAAGAGTTCGTGTCAATTTCGATGCACAGACAGGACCCTTCCCTGAGACCTCATTCATAGCACAGATAATAGTTGCTCTGTGACAATTAAAAGAAGGAGTAGAACTGACTGTAATCCAGGCAGGTTAAGAATAAATTGTGACTACCTGATTTGTTGAGTCTGTTTCACTGGTTGAGACCATCTTTGGTATCTGAGTAAGAATTTTCTGTACATCTGCTATTGATGAGATAGCAGAATAAGGCCATATCAAATTTAATGTATCACTGAATTATCCATTTACTTCCTGAAGCAAAATACATTTTAGCCAAATGTGGCCAAAGATCTCTGCTCCTAGTCTCTTGTATGTTTTCCTTCTGGGATTGGATGGTTTATCACAGAGTGATGGTTTTCCGTCTTAATTTTTTTTAATGTTATTTACTTTGCAGACTGAATCAGCTGTGATGGTTATATAAAGACTTATTATTCGTTCTAAAAAGGAATATTACAACTCGGTAATCCATACCATCATTTTAAGGACCTCTCTATAATACCATTCAACCTGCTAATTGCAGACTTTTAAAGCCTTGTCAACAGAGTCGCTAGGCAATGCAGTCACACACAGCGCCTCTTTATGAATGGTCAAACTGAACACTAAAACATGAAATTTTTAGCCATCAGATATTATTTTTACATTTTGGGGAGGCAATGTGGTTCTTTATTTTTTTCCTATTCTATAAAGAATACATACACATTAACATTTTTATTTTTTTCAAATATGGAAAATCCTTGGGATCTACCCAGTGCTAAAATAGCTAAAAGAGCATTACTGAGACATTCTGCTTTTCATATCTTAAGTCCTGATATATCCCAGTAGAGTTGGAGTCACTACTTTGAGGACTAAGATTGCTGTATTCAAAACCAGACAGCAATCAGCCTTTTAACCTGAATAGGTAGAAACCTCATTAGCTAAATATGTAGGAGCATAGATGTTAAACTAGGATATACTGCAGAAATGACCATATAAATGGCTCAGCACAAATAATAGAAACCTGATTATTATTCAGAATGTCTTTCCAAAATGTGTGATCATTTTATTTATGCATTTTCATACCAACCCCATCATTCTGTCTCTTTGTATACATAGTAGTAAAGAAATTAAATACCTGAAAAGAGCCACTGGTGAGGCAAGAACAGGTTGGCAAATTCTCTTGTTTTTGTCACAGGCCCCACACATTGAATATTAGAACTGCCTGAACTTTCTCTGGCCTTGACTCACCTGAGAGCTCCAATCAGAATGAATTAAAGTCATTTCTGTCTGATTTGGTGTTACATGGAATTCATATTTTTATTGCCATTTTAATAGTCAGGGGAGAACAAAAATAGATTCTTTCTGTGAGCAAATGAAACCAGCTGAGCAAGTCAGGGCCTAGCTAGAAATTAGGCCTTCTCTCCCATTCTGGAACAACGGGCCCTACGTGCGTCTTCCAGCACGTTCTCAGGGAACAGATGGAACATTACATACCTATTTGTTTGTTAAATGAATGACCCACAGTTGTAGAAAATGACAGATTTCTACTACAGAATTCAAGCAGAAGCAAAATATTCAAGAAAATATTTTTAAAGCTCACTTTAAATCCTACCACCCAGAAATAGCTGTTTCATTAACATCAGAAGAACTTCGTTGCAGTCATTGCAGTGATACTATACAGGCAGCATGAAGAGAAACTGTTTTCAAAAGATGGTATCACACCACCCAGGCTGTTTTTAAGTCAGAATACTGCTTTTTTAAAAATAAATTCACTGAAGTATAATATATGTACAATAAATTGCATCCCTTTAAAATGCAGTTCTAAAAGTTTTTGCCATTTATACACCTAGAAATGACTACCACAATCAAGATACAGAACATTTCTGTCACTCCAAATGGTGGCTCCTCCCCCTTCACAGTCCAGCCCTCCCTAGGTTCCCAGCCCTTGACAACCACTGAAATGTTTTCAATCACTACAGAGTAGTTTGCATTTTCTAGATTTTATGTAAGTGTGATCATGCAGTAAGTAATCTGTGCTGGTGTCTTTTGTGAAGGATAGTAATTGTGAGATCTCTCTTTGTCCATACATATCAGTGATTCATTTCTTTTCATTGCTGAGTCGAAATCCTTTTATCTTAGGGCTAGCAGGGGGCTTGGTGGTTAAGGGTGCTGGACTCCCACATGGGCACTGTGTAAGCACTTTTTCTGGGAGGATTATCTGCTCTAGCATTAGGACTTTGAGTGGTTCATCATTTAATTGTCATGTCTATATTATAGTTAGAGGATTATTACTATAATGTTATAAAATATTACTGGTCCAAATATTAATTTCTTTATACTGTATAGTACATAAGACTTTTCACAGAAAGTTAAGCTTATGAAGCTTAATCTAAACTAATATTTATTTAAAATGTGAAAGCAGAAATAAACATG